AGCACAAGACGTAATTTCAACGTTGAAATATGGTTGAAATCGGGTTGAAATGAGGTCTGAACGTCTAAGACCTCATTTCAACGTCTTTTCAACCGGCTAAAAATGGCATAAAACATCAGCGTGCCAGAAAACATCAATTTGTTGACAAATGTGTCATGATGTAACGTAAGGTTGAAAGATAGACGATATTAACGTTAAGATTTTCATAATAATTAATGAACTGGTCGGCGAAATTTGGTCTACGCGAAGACGTAATTTCAACGTATTTAATATTTCACTTAAAACGTTATAAATATGAAACTACGGACTGCCTGCTGTTAATAAGATGCGTTTAATACATAATAATGCGGGCAGGTTCAAACATTACTTGTAAACACGTAACTCCGCTGACATCTGTAACGCGCATGCGCGAGTTCTTAGACGCCTGCAGAGCTCCGAGCGGACGCAGCACGAAGCGAAGTTACGGCAGCAGAGCGACATGAACGGGCTGATAGAACCACGACTACCGGCTCCACTACTCTGTAAGTACGCGAGTGTTTGGATGAAGCACACCTGGAACTATAACCGGGTGTTTTACTTGTGCTGCCCACCCGATACGGGAAAGACGGCCCTTTTTGTTAAGCTAGTTAGCGTTAGCGCAGGTAGTTTGCTAGTTAGCATGCTAGCGTGCAGCATGATGACCTGGACCAAAAGTAAACATCCCAGAATATTTTTCGTGTGTTTGGTGTTACTAATGCGTTAGGTTGTTGCTGTACCCATAAATGGTATTGCATTTCACATTGAAAATACGTTTTTAAAGCAATGGGGGCTAAATACAGATTGCAAGGGTGAAGGGCTGAATTCAACAAGTTGTGGTCTGTAAACAAGAGGGACAACACATTGTAAGTTACTGCTGCTTAAAGCATGATACTGTGTAATATACCTGGACATGTTACTCCAGAAATACCATAAGTTGCAGATGAATTGTTATCTTGTTGATAATGTAATAAGTGAACAATCTATAAATTAGGGTTCTAACACACCTGCTGCTGTTATTATTACTAGTTTATTACTGTAATCATAAACCCAAATGACCAACTTTGCCTTTGTGCTTCCCTCCTCACAGGTTTCTGCGGGTGGTGGTTGCATCTGATGGAGGTTACGTCTGATGATGGTTGTCCCTGCACTGGTCCTGCCTTACCCCTGGCTTAGTAATCCACAATATTAGAATCATTTCTGTCGTAGGAATTGGATGTACTGTACATCTTTAAATTGTTCATACTCTACACACCTACTGCCTTGCTGTTTTCTCCTCAGGTTTGTCCCGGTTGAAGGTTTTTTACATTTTGGGGGTTTTGGGACAGGATGTTGCATGTTTACAGATTGCAAAGCTGAACAAAATAAAATGATTTGAATTGAATAAACACGTTGACCAGAGAAATCTGCAATTGAGGGCTGTTCTCTGCACTCTGACTCCCTTTACACAAAGAATCATCAAGTGAGGATGAGGGAGATGCAGCTGATTTCAGGTATACTATCCCAACTCAAGTGACTCACAGCCACATCTTGTTACAGAATCTAAAAATGAAGTTCAAATGATTCAGAAAAATGGTCTACAAACACAGAATTGTTGTTGTTGAACACAGAAATGTTGTTTCTGCACTTTTAAATCCATAGTTTATTTCCCTGAAATATATATTTTATTTTTGTATTGTTTTTAATTAGGAAAAGTGTTATATGTATAGTGTTATATTTATAATAAATGCAAATTAATAGAATAATGTGTTTGTCCTTGTTAAGGGCTGTTAACATGACAACTGTGACTAAGTATGTAACTTGTACGTTTCCAGCGAGCAATTTATCCGTTGAAACAACGTTTAAAAGACGTCTATGGCCCGACGTTGAAAAGACGTTGCAAATTGGTTCAAAAGTGAAAGTTGTTTCAACGTCTATTCGTAGACGTTGAAAAGACGTTTACGTTTAGACCACATTTCAACCAGCGAGCATTTCAACGTTGAAAAGACGTTTAAAAGACGTCTATGCCCGACGTTGAAAAGACGTTGCAAAATGGTTTAAAAGTGAAAGTTGTTTCAACGTCTATTCGTAGACGTTGAAAAGACGTTCACGTATAGACCCGTTTTCAACGTGATTTATAATATCGGTGGTAAACTTACAAATGTGGACGTTTCTTTTTAAACATCTAAAATAATGATATAGCATACAAGAGAGGACGAAATATTACCGTATAAATAAATCACGCTGAAATGTGGTCTAAACATAGACGTCTTTTCAACGTCTACGAATAGACGTTGAAACAACTTTCACTTTTAAACCATTTTGCAACGTCTTTTCAACGTCGGGCATAGACGTCTTTTAAACGTCTTTTCAACCAAAAAATGCTCACTGGGTTGTTAATAAAGCTTTCTTTGCATAAACGTGTGTCAAATGTTCATTTTCTCTATAAATTCATTGATGTCCTGGTTGGTATCATAATAGTGTAGTAGCCTGCATAGGATAACCATGAAATTAATATACAGCATAATATGAATATATAAATAAAATGAGGCGGGTGACCAATAGCGACAGATCTGCCAACCAATCACGAGTGATTGAAAGTTGTGGTTTCATCCAATCATGAACGAGGAAACTCAAGCCTGGTCAGCCCACGTGTGGTTTTGCTGCCAATCACGAGTGATTTTATTTGTTCGTAAGTTGTGGTTTCATCCAATAAGGAGTAAGGATATTCAAGCCCGCTCGGCTCGGACACCCGCGGTTTCGCTGCATTCATATGCTAATTCGGGCCATTCGCACCTCCGCCAGCTCTCCACCTACGTCATGGTTCGTTTCCGACAATTTGCAACTCGCGCACGTCGCGTTTGTCTGTGCCACAAATTGTCGGAAATTAGGGAGATTTCCGGGCGTTTACGGGGACGAAAATCTCACTTTTCATGCAGTGTAAGACGGCACCATTCCTCAAAAACCTGCCATTTACCACTGTAAAGAGAGCGCGTGGAGGCGGCTCTTGCACTCTGAATGGTGTCAATGACCCGTTCAGGCAGGCCTGTTGCGTTCAGGTTCCACCTCTCACCGGCCAAGCACAGAGCGCTATTCGGTCTGGGTGAGGGTGGTAGATCTCTCCGCCAGCCTGGGACCCTGCGTATGGGCAGAGGCCGCGGCTCGCCCGTCAAGAGCTGTATTATTTCCGCCACCCAATGTTTGGACGGCCACCACGGCGCTATCAGGATTAGCGTCAAGCCCTGTTCTCGTACGCTGTCTAGAGTCGGGGAGATCAGACTGAGCGTGACACGAGCGTGTGGCGGAGCCAAATGCAGCACAACGGCACGGAGTGTTTGGTTAACGCTTTTATTGAACACAGCCTCACAGCAGGCGTTCGGGCACAATGAGAGGCAGAGCAAAGTGCGGTCCTCAGGATCGGGGAGGAGATGCCGGGAGACAGCTGGTGCAATCGCTGGGCCGGTCGGGGTTCCGGAGCACAGGAGCAGAAGCGCCGGGCAGTCCAAGGGGCAGGCAACAGAAACCCGGGGCGCTCAGGCAGGACTCGTGGTCGGGGACAGAAGGCTGAGGTGCTCACCGGGGCGGAGACAGACGAACGGGTCGGGAACAGGCAGGATCGAAACCGGGAGATCAGTCCAAGGTAGAGTGCTGGAGAGACTTGCATGACGCGAAGAACAATCTGGCAATGACAGGCTGGGTGTGCAGTGCTTATGTAGCGGGGCTGATTATGAATGCGAAGCAGGTGTGGAAGGCAGGAGAGTGACTGATTGTGGATGCGGGGCAGGTGTGGAAGATCGAGCTGGCAGGTGAGTGTGACAGAGCAGGGGGAATGCATAGAGCAGCACGTTTGGCCACGAGTGGGCCAGCACATCCATCCCCAGTGGTGCGTTTGCGTCTGCCAGGGAGAAAAACTGTGGACCTTCAGTGTTTTCCCGCGAGGCGAAGAGATCTACGTCTGCTTGGCCGTATTTCTGCCAGACTTGCTTCACCACTTTAGGGTGAAGAACCAACTCCCCGTAAAGAGGGTTCCCTCGGGACAGAAGATCTGCACCCCTGTTCAGCACCCCTGGAACGTGTGTGGCTCGAAGAGACAGGAGCTTGGTGCTGCTCCGCAGGATTAGCTTTCGAGCCAACCTGTGTAACTGCAGTAAGCAAGTGCCACCTTGGCGGTTGGTGGTGGTGTTGTCTGTTTTTACCAGGACGTGGTGACTCTGGGGAAAAGTTAATTGTTAATAAAGATTATTGATCTAAGCATTGTGTACATTAACTGTATCAATAATCTTCTTGAGGTCAAGAAAAACTTCAAGAAAAACACCCGCTTCACCCATTTTAAGCTTCACATTCTCTTAAGCCTAGTTTATGCTTCTGTGTTTTCAGAGCGACGCAGGACCCCCTTGCGTGTCCCTTGCGTGCCTTTTCACACCTCCTTGCGTGCTTGCGTGTGTCGACCCATTTTTCTAGGCTTGCGTCGAAAGCTACGCGCGGATGGTCTCCGATTCACGGAGGGAGATCTCCATAAACGCCGGTTTGCCAGTCGAGAGGTGCACAAAGTTGTGGAGGAAAATACGGGACAAATGTGTCCGCGACGAAAAGCATCAGTGGCGATGCACGAGGCAATAAAGTCTATGATAAATAAATGAACAAACCAACAACTTCCACACGCAAAGACGTGACTCTATAGGTCGTCTTCAACAAAAAACGTTACTCCACCTGTTGTTCTGGATGTGAATTGCTCTGCAACACACGCAGAACCATGAATTGAAACGAGTGCGTCGACGCAACGACGCAGAAGCATGTGCTAGCCTTTAAGTTCCATCATTTAAATCCAGGGAGCGTGATAAATATTTGACTCTTTATCAAAGAAATGTTGCTTTTGATTTCTTAATATAATCGAGGTTACTCCCTGTTTCATGTTATATTGTACACACAATTAAAGATAAATGCTTGTCTTTTACGTTACTTTAAGTCCCTGTGGACACCCCTGCTGACACTATATACAGTAACACAAAGGTCTTTATTTATATGCCCAGACTCCTGGAAGGCAGAATTTATCAAGAACGAAAGGAAGAAGCTGCTGAATTACAAAGCTCTGCTGGTGAAGTCCCTGCAGCCGGCGATTTACTGCCCGTTCGCTGGCGTCTTTGTGGAGGCCCATCCATCAGACAGGTACTTTGTTCAGAGGGGTTGGCCAGGATCTGTACAAGAACAGCAGATCATAATAATGTACAGCAAGGATAAATTACATTGAATGATCTTTATATTTCCCTCCTCTTTCTTTTAGCTGTATCAGAGTTTATATGAAGTTTATCTTGGAATAAACCTGCACTTTGCTTAGTGGTATTCTTGGGTAGCAGTTGTTGTTTGTCTGTCTCTACTTTATGCGTGTGTGTGTGTCCAGATACATCAGGGAAACAAATGTTAAGAACAGTCCCGAAGACCTGAATGCTCTCATCAATAAGTTTGCACCAGACATCAAGACATGGACGCCCAAGCCGGGTGCTGTGCTGGACCTTGGCCTGGCTCTGAGAGACCCCACCAACAGGTACACTAGCCCTCAAGCAGTCTGCAGACTGGGCCGATCCAAACGGGCCAGTACCCAGTTAGGTAGCAGGCTACAGCAAATACACTTTGCTACTAGATAGTGTTTTCAACTAGCATACAGTAATTTTTTTTTTTAACAAAATATTTTCCAGCCTGAATTACAAGCTTTTGTCTTGAATCAATGCATTGTTGAAAACATTATAATTGGTAAACTTGAATGATTTAGTAAAAGTGTCAAATAACTTGGTATCAATGCTTTTATTACACACAGAAATGGAGGCAAAACTACAAAAAAACTTTATCTTTAATTCTGCATTCATTCGTAGATGAAATAAATAACCCATTTAAATATTTTAATGTCATGGTGGAGCTATATGAAAAGTAGGGGATCTAAAAAGGTTACAAAGAATCATTTCCTTGGGAATACACATCACTTATTGCTTTGGACGCCATGCGTCTGCACAATTCTGTAGAAATCTCTAATAGTTTTTGAATTATTTCATTCTGGACCAAAGTGGTGGAGCAACCCACAGGCTAGTGGGGCCATGACGCCACATGGGGAGGAAATCAGGTTACATTAAGATTTACAGCGCTCTGCTCGGTTTCCTCATCACTTTTTTCTTTCTCTACCTCTGTGATAATCAGTTTTTCATGAACTGGTCCCACTGGCTGACCCTACGTTACTTTCTTTCTGTTGCTTTCTTTTAAAAATGGATGCCGGTTTGATTAAAAGCCAATGTCCCAACATGTATATTCAAGATGATTGAGACAGATGACAACTTTGAGCCCCATGCTGACGGCAGTGACTTCTTGGATCTGACGTTCCCCACAAAGAGACCTGAGCGGGAGCACGCCTACATAGAGGTGAGAGTCCATGGAGACAACACGGGACAGAATGACAAGTCCAAAATCATAGCAGATAGAGAGAAGATGTTGCATCCAGCGTCTTTTTTTTCTGAGCGTGCCAATTTTTATTAAGCAGCCATTTTGCACTGGTGATGTCACTATAGTAACTTCAGGAGAAGCTTGGGCGTGTCTGATGATATTAAACTTATATTTCAGACTCGTAACAAAGACAGAAAAGCCCTTTTGCGTGAGCAAAGATCTGTGCTTTTTATACTATGCAGATTGTTTCTGACATACTGCCTCTCAAAGAAATACATACATGAAATTTGTTTCCCTGACAGCAGAATGATAACAGATACAGCCAGAAGTTCTCCAGCACTCACAATGCTTTGGATACAAGTCTTCTCCATCATTAGAAAAAAGGATTTGATCTTTAGGAGATATGTTTCAAATTTAGTTAATTGAGAAGCTTCTTTTTAAACACAGTACTAACCAGGATGCATCATGTTTTTGTCCTTCAAGATTAAAAACAGGATTGGGGTGATGAAATATGTGGTGCAGCAGGGTCTTCTCTGGGATGATCTGTACATTGGCTTCCAGAACCGCATACGCCGAGACCCGGATGTCTACCACCACAAGTACAGCCACTTTAATATCAATACATGTACACAAGTTCATTAACAAACAACTAATAAGCCATTTTTTCATTTGATCCAATTTACCTGACGATGAACATTATGTTTACTCTCGCTCTGACATTGAAAATATTCTCAACTTGAATCCGTCTCGTTGGTCTCCAGGTTCTGGAACCACTTCCAGACGCAGCTCCCAGTTCGCAGGCCAGACTGGGACCAGTTCCTGCAGGAGATTTCCCTCCAGGAGCCTGACACAGCAGCTCGGGGCCAAGGAGCTAATTGTGTAACGTCTTGAAAGACAGATGTGTTTCTGGAGATTATTTGTCTTCTTCTACTGGCCTGTAATCATTTAATGGGTTTGTCTAATTTAATCTAAAACTGGAGATAATTTGTGTGCTACTCTGCTGAAAGGATCAGCCAGATTTACCACTTAATGCACTGTTTAATAAATGAGAGCAGATTTTTTTATGGCTAAATGACATTCTCAGGTAGAAGGGTTTTTATTTTTAAATGTGACTTGCAAAGTCACACATAGAGGAATGAGGTGTGATTCTTCTGAAATTATTTAATTTAAAATGCTGCTTGGAGTCATTTATTGGCCGTCTAGTTTTATTTAAAGGGGAGATGTTTTTTTGTATGATGTATGATTAGTCATTAATTTATTTAGTGGTTTTTAGTAATAAATTTAATGATTAACCACTTTTTGTTTTAATTGCTTGTATTCTCGAATGTCTATATACAGTAATTTTCAGGCAAAACTAAGGGCCTGGCCTTAGTTAGGTGACCCCTGCTATATAACTTAAACCAGGGGTCTTCAACGTTTTTGAGGCCAAGGACCCCCAAACTGATGGCGAGATACTATATACTATAGATATACTATATAAATTGCATAAAATTGTGTTTATTATATACTGGGCCTAGTGCCATATAATCATAGCTTCCCTGTTATTGTGCATTCAATACTAAGCTATTCAAATAATACACAGGTTAATATATTCATCAAGATTTTTATTTTTTAACATTGAATTTAACTTAAAAAAATGTAACATTGAATTTAACTTAACATTTAACAACATGAAAGGTATAGGGTGGCCGTTTCAGATGCCATGAGCAAATACGGAATTCCTTTGTCTTTATTTCTAAAGCCTCGCATTTAGCCAGAGAAGGAAATTGTACACATTAACAGGTACTGGGACGTATTGGTAAAATGACGGTTAATTATCTGGTTGTCGACATTATGTTTTAACACCGTTTTGTTGACGAGCTATTGAACCGTGAAGTCTGAATCTGTGAATATCTTGTAACTAACTTTACCGAACGTTTTTATGTCGCAGTGTTGTGCTAGTTTCTAAATGAAGTCAGAATAAACCATTTACTAAAACACAAGGTCTAGAGATCATTTACATGTGATTTGCACGAGGAGGGGAAGAGGCGGGTCCATATCGCTTCATACCTTAGTGGGGCAGGTTTATGACCTTCTGACAAAACGCATTTGTTTCGTTCTAAAAACCGAACAGCCTACTTTCCACCTGTAACGATACGGGGAAACGCGGAAATTCCTGATTCTATAACAAAGGCAGACAAATTAAAAAGGCACAGACCGTTAAGATCAATTGTTGGTTCGCCGTATTTTTATTAACAATAGAATAAAATATTACATTCATTTTGATAATTTTCGTGACAAAAAGACCACAATATACAACTAATACTATATTTGTTTTTCCAGCCATTCTTTTTTTCCACCGTGCATATGTCATTAACGCTGTCCGTTTCAAGTTTATTTCAAGGGCTCGTATTTTATAATTCCTCATTGATCTCGCAGAGACACGAGCGGATGATGAGACTTAAAACACCTGTGGCAGAGACAGGACAAAAACAAACAGACCTCATAGTTGTTTACTCACGGGTTGGCGTGTCATTGTAGTATTGTTTTGTCTGTTTTTTGGTTTAACCCCATTACCGGCGTCTCTTTGTGTTTCTTTATTTAGATCTTAGTCATTTGGCGTCTCTTTCGTTTGAACAATGACTAGCCTTCCCTCAATAGTAGACGATGAGCGGAGAGAGCAGTGTCTATAATATCATGTCACATGGCCATTCAGACCAAACAAGGCATGTGTTCTTAGTGTGTTATGAAAGCTACTTAAATGTTCTGAGTAAACAGTGCTGTTAAAGCAGTTTCTCCTATGCAAAGATATGTGTTACATCTTCATGCACACGTTTGACCCCAAACAAACTGATCATAACTACATATTAAAAATAAATAATATCAATAAAATGAAAATAGTTACCTGAACAATCTACAAGGAAATATGCCCCGCCCCCCAGCTCATGCAATGACACGTCGAACACTTTATTTGGCGCATCTGCGAAGAGACTGCGCACCAGTCGCAGTCCTTGTGGGATCAGGGCGCATCTCGTGTTGGTGAGTTTGAGCTCCTGTTTTCATTCTCTTACAGCCTTGAGTCCACTGCCAGGTGTGACAGGGATTACTTTCCCTCCCCTCACAGCAACCAGTCGCTTAGATTACGACGATAATCCATTGATACAGTTGTGTAATTAGGTTGAAAAGTCAATTGCCCGTTTAAGTAAAAATATTTCATCACCCAACATTCCATTAAGGAACCTAAGAGTACGTGGTTTAGGAATTAGCAACAATATGTTGTTAAAGTAAACGTTCTCATAATGCAGATTGATTTTGGCAGTATTATATTATTGTACTTTTTTTCAGAAAATAAAACATTGAAAAATATACATTAAGTGGTTTATTTAACTACTTTTTGTGTCTCTGGATTTGTAAACAACCACTATACATATCTAAATTTGCACATATACACATATATCTGCACACACATACACGATTGAAGATGTCTGTGCCAGGTTGTAACAGATCTACAATAATAATAATAATAATAATACATTTTATATATAACACACTCTTCATCAGCAGATCTCAACGTACGACCGAGATGGTGAAACATTGGTAAAACATAGTTATGAAGAAAATAAAAGCTAGTAAAAGCTAGTAAAAACAAGTAAAAGTTAGAGTAAAAAACGCCTTCTTGAATGAAAAGGTTTTCAGGCCAGTTTTCAAAGAGTCCAGTGACCGTACTGTCCTCTAGGTGGCCAGGGAGACTGTTGTGTTGTGGTTGATTCTCTTGCAGTTAACTTTGACTTTGTCTATAAACAGAAGAAATTATTGAGTTACTGAAAAGGCAAATCGGCACAGCAGGGTAATGTTAACCTCACTGAGCTGGAATATATTCATTGGCATCTACCTGCGTATGGGTCTCTGCAACTGCTGGGAAATCGTGCTTACTATGCGAATAGACACAAGGTGTGGCATGGAGGCATCTCTACACTTTACTGATAACACTGATAACAGGCACATCCTGATATCAACGGTTCAAACATGTCACCAAGGCAACAAAAGGTTTCTAAACTCTTTTGACAAGACCTCCAATTCTTCGTCTTATTTATTTGTATTCAGTTTGCAAATCAAATCTGCAAATCTGAAAAAAATATTTTGTTGTTCAACCTAAGGAGGGGGAAGGTTGTTTTTTTTTAAAAGTCGGAAATGTGTCAGAAATAAGAAATCTCCCCAGAGGACACGGATATGTGTCCTCTGGGGAGTGTGGTAGAAGTCTTGCTGAAACACATGAGCAGATTGTGTCTAGAGCTTTAGGGAATTATTTAAAATAAAATCATCTATCATTGAATTGAATAACTGCCACGTTTACCTTTAAATTAACGCTCTAAGGAAGGAGGGAAAGAAACAAATGTCTCAATCATCAGAGTTCCTCAGAAGATTATAAAGTGATATACATCTCCACACAAAACCCTGCCATAACTTCTTTTTCCTGCTCAGCCATATGAAGATGTAAGGATGTCTTGCACTTTCGTAGATGGATAGATAGATGTGAGTCTATGAAAACCCAAAATCTAACAAAAAGTTTCCAATTATCTTAATGTTGAGGTCCTGTGAATATATTTATATCCATTATGATTGGGAAAATGGTGGTGGACCACCCGTCTATGTGGTTGCTTCAGAACTGTGGTAGTGTTTTGTAACAACATTTCTGTGGTAAAGTTTTTAAATTGTTCAAAATGCATGTCCTATTTTTAGGAGCAATGACCTCACAACGAGCAAAGGTGGTGCTGTCACTGGGTGCTGAAACAGTGTGCTCACTCAAAGAAGGAGTCAACTTCAAGAAAAACCCACAGGACGGTAAATGTTACATCATATTCAAGAGCGACAATGGCTTCAGAGCGTGCAAGAACCAATGCAAACACCAGGGAGGGCTGTTCATCAAAGACATCGAAGACCTGGGTGGCATGTGAGAGCAGTTTGGCAGAATTGTCACGCAATGTGAAATGTGATGTGTTAAAGGAACCTTTGGGTACTGACGGGCTGCTCTGGTTCAACAGGACTGTTAAGTGCACTAAGCACAACTGGAAGTTAAATGTGTCCACGATGAAATATGTGAATCCACCAGACAGCTTTTTGCAGGACGAGCTCGGTGAGTCTGCTAAAATCATATTTTTCTATTTGGGATGCTTATTTTATTGCTGTTACACCAAAGAGTTCTGAATGTTGAGATAGTTCAGATCATCTAAGCACCCTTACTGTTAGGATACAGATTAAATGTAAAGCATGCACTTCCTGTTTATGTTCTGGTTCTTGAAAGTGAATGCATGCCTGATTCATTCTGTGAAATTTGCACAAAAAGTATTGTAGAAATTATATTTCCCAATAATGTATCTGACTGCTTCATATCCAGCTCAGGATATATAATCTGTCACTTACAGAGGTGGAGCTTTCTGAAGATGGAAGCCTTCAGTTGATTGAGTTGAGCCCCATCGACCCCTGGCTGGCTGACCCTCGAGAGGCTGTGCAGCTCCAGGATGGAGAGGTGAAAGTATGTATCATGCTGTTAACCACAATCTACTGTTTATAAAATTACCACTATACAAATTTACATTTACACAATGTAATTCTTGTATAAACATCTATGAAGTGAGAAAAAGTGAAAGTTTGAATTTATTGATTTAGGCTTAATTAGGTCATCTAAAAAAACTATTGCACACTTAACCCTCCACGATCATAATATTATGACAGACAAGTTAACACTAACCATGTTTTATTATTTATTTTGCGGGGACAATGCACACTAATCAACAGGTTTACTGTAAGTGAGCCAGAGTTAGCTAGAGAGGCTAATTTCCATCTGCTGTTCCGGCCAGATGTTTTTATGGCAACCTAAAATTAAAAAAACATTCAAAATCTTCAAAGGAAATGTAATTAAAATTCATAGACAAAACGGACACAACGTGTCACACAGCAAAAAAAAGAAAAGCGTACGACAATAAACTAGAGAACCATAACAGGCTGCAGCATGCGTCAGGCAGAACAAACAAACCTACAGTGGAAGCACATATAAATATACCACTGAAGCACATAACGTACACAGAGAGAGAAAAAAAACAAGAAAAAAAAATAGCAACACTGAGCAAGACATAAGCACATATAGGTGAATCAAGCAGGCAGGACAGACGGCACGTCAATGCTTGCAAACCTGATTGGCAACAAAACCAGACAAACATCAGTGAAGTTAATGAGGTTCTCCCAACTCAGGAAATGGTGTTTGGGGAGAATATTGCACGATGGTGACTTCTGTTTTTTAGGGCTTGTTTATGGAGAATGTGAATACATGTTAATGTTGTGCTGCTGGCTTGTGCCCAGCTAGTTAAACAGTAGGTCAGATAGGGGACAATCATGGTTAAACAATCATGGTTAAACAATGTCTTACATATCTAAAATTAACAAGATTAAAATTCAAAACCTTTGTAACATGTTTTACGTGTTTTTTAAAAGAGAGATTAGAATCAATAATAATGCCTAAATATTTCAAATCTGACACTACCTGTAGCCTCTCACCTGCAACATAAACATCTGGTGCAGCTTGTTCTTTGTTCTTTGCGTGAACATAAATCACTGTATCGTCAGCATACATTACCAATACCACATCCATTGCAGACACCCAGCAAATCATTTATGTGTAAACTGAATAATAGATGTCCCAAAATAGAACCCTGGGGTACTCCAACATTACTCTGACACGGTGGTTTCTTCCTTCAAGATAGGATTCCAGCAAGGCCAGAGACTCTTGGGAAGAGTTAAAATGTGACAGTTTATTGATCAGAGCATTGTGATTAACTTTTAAAAGCCTTTTTGAGGTCAAGAAAAACTGCTGCTACCACACCCCTTTATCCATTTTAAGCTTCACATTATCTAAGAGGAAACAGCAGGAACATTAAAGAGACATTGTTTTCTTTGCCTGACTAAAAAATTGGTGATACTATGGCTGATTTCCATCCTTTTGGGAAGACACATTGCAGAGTTATTGACAATGCTTATGATTGGGTGAGCGAGTGTGCCTTTGTGTTTCTTCACAAAAATATTGTGAATTCCATAAACCTCCATAATCTTTGACCTTATGATACGTTCACACCAAAAGCGAAGAAGCGTAGAAAAAGCGATTTATTCGATTCGCTCCTTTCGCGTCCCACGCGTCATTCGCACCGGCCATTTAAAATTTGCCTCATTCGCGACCAGACGCGTCTGTGCATTGAATTTACATGTGAAGCCGTTCGAGACGCTGGCGAGTCGCGCTACACCGGCCAGAGGAAAAAGTTGGAATTGCGGGAGTTGGGTTCGCGGTGCTTTTCATCTTTGCCGCCGCGGAGATTGACGGATCCCTGCCACCCAGAGACAGAGCTCCGATAACGGGTGCAAACTGAGGGGACACGTAAGGTGAAGTAACCCAACTTTGTACTATTTAGCAGCAGGCTACACAGAAGAATAACTTTGCCCGGATTGGATTGATTTTTTGTTAGCACCAGCTAGAACCAGGCTAGCCTATTTTATTTGGTACTTTGTGGACTCAGAGAACGGAATTTGAGGATTTTTGCTCTGGACTAAGCCGTAAGGCTGTTGGACATTTCCACTGAGAATAAGGTATTTTTCTTATTGTTTAGGATGAACCATTTTCCTGTGTAAAACAACTACTGAGAAACGGGGACACTGGTCAGTGACGTTTATTGTGTACTGTCTTTGGTCACTGCTGTTAATTTCCTGTCATGTCTTCCTGTGATGAAACTATATTATTCATTATCGACTGAAAGCGTGAAGCGTGATTTAGGGTAACCAACCCATTCCTATATACTTTGTATTTGTTTGTTTATTTTCCTAGTGCAATTAGATTGATAAATCATTATTCATTTTCATTGTTCAAATGATGTGCTTATACTGTGCAGTTCTTTATGCTTCTCTGAAGTAGGGGCGTCTCATCCTCTGTCAGTATATGGTAGTAGAGGAAAATATCGGGTAAGTTGCACATATAAACGCTTATGCCTGTATTTTGTCCCTTAGGTCACCATCGTGACATTTAAAAATCCTAGGGCCGAAACTACTATATTCGTTACACATCGGCAGGTTAGGCTTGAGACTAGTAGTCCTGGGGTTTAGGGACTGAGATCCTTTTTTATCTCCAGGCATTCAGGGAAGACTTACTTACCCCTACTAAGCAGACGGTGGTCCCGTTCGCTACACATGGAATCTACTCGCGCAAATAATTCGCTTCTGGTGTGAACGTACCATTAGCGTTCTTGAGTGAGCCTAGAACTCTGGTGACAAAAGATTCAGGGACAGAGATAGCATTCAAAATGTATTTACTCACAGAAAACATCAAGGACAGTCACATGCCAAGAACAAACTTGGCTTCCTGTTTCCCTCGTCACATTTCGCCTGCTGTCTCGGAGTAGTGAACCTAGTTTTCACTTTCATTTTAAGTTGCTTCATTGAAGTACTTTTTTAATGAAAATGGTTAATTGTGGCCTGTACTCGGAGAGTAAGAAGATGTTGCTGTCTTCCTCAACACATGAAAACATGTTGCACTTAATCTATGCATCTATGTGTTACCTTACCTCCATTCAGTTCAGACACAATTACTAACTTCCCACTCAGGTGACGTACTTGACCCACGCCTGTATGGAGCTGAAGCTTGGACAGAGGCGGTTCATGTTTGACCCGTGGCTGAAGGGTCCTGCATTTGCCAGAGGCTGGTGGCTTCTCCATGAGCCTCCAGCAGACTCCCTGGACAGACTGTGTGCAGCTGATCTCATCTACATCAGCCATATGCACTCCGACCACCTCAGGTAGACTTTGGCTGTCTCTTCCCCTGCAAAGACAACACATGACAAAAAGGCCTTATCTGTAGAGTCGCACATTTAGAGGAACAAGTATAAAATCCAACTCCTGTTCTGTTGTCTGTTGAAAACATGGGCCTTTATGTAACTAAATCTTTTCTAGCACTCCCAATAAAGGCTTGAATGCATATGTAATTGTTGCATCTTTGCCGATAGCACTTTTGAGCTAAGTCAAGGTGATGACTTCTTCCAGCTCTGCTTCTTCTTCTCTTTCTTGGAAAAGGTTTCCAGCAGGTTTGCCTTGCAAGCAGTCACATAAAACTGCTTTGTGCATAAAATACACACATGAACAAACAAAACTTACAAACATGGATTCATTTTCGGAAAGACATCAGAGTAATGGGGTTGCCTCATAGGACGGCCCCCTGAGCCCCTGAGGGGTTTGCGTGCGTTTCAAGCAGGTTGGTAGTGTTTTGGGATTTACATTTAACTTGTGAGGTGAACAATAATCAGACATTTTTAAAAATAATGTATGTTGCCCTTTTTACTTTTTTAGTTACCCGACGCTGAAAGTCTTGTCAGAGCGGAAACCAGATATCCCAATTTATGTTGGTGACACATCCAGACCAGTCTTTTGGTTGGTAAAGGGATCGAGCCAAGTTGAATCCATATTATTCTAAAACATATTCTTATTTCATCATTGGTATTAACCATTGTTCAATTGTCTCTCTTGGTCTTGATGCAACAGGTATATGGAGCAAAGCCAAGTCAAGCTGACAAACATCCATGTTGTTCCTTTTGGTGTCTGGAATAATGTAACCACTGCTGCTCACATCTCACCAAAATATTAGAATGTTTTATAAAGTGTTGTAATTGAATAAAAAAGAAAAATGATTTGCTACACTAAAATCTTGTGACATACTAATAATTATAATAATAACATTTTAATTTTCATTCCCTAACCTTTGTTCTGAATCAGATTGACGCAGACCTAAGGTTTATGATCCTGATGGATGGAGTGCACCCTGAAATGGACACCTGTATCATTGTTGAATATAAAGGTGCATACTTTTCAATGTGTTTCGTATATTGAATACTAGTTGCGGCCCGAAACATACAATTCAATTGTTAAATGCATTTGTCGCAGGTCACACAATCCTGAACACCGTGGACTGTACCAGGCCAAACGGGGGCAGGTTACCACAGAATGTGGACTTGATGATGAGCGACTTCGCTGGGGGGGCATCTGGATTCCCCATGACTTTCTGTGGTGGGAAATACAGTGGTGAGGCTCAAGTCAGTGTTTGGGAAAGTCTCCCCTCTGCCAACCTAAATTTAGTTTGAACTGGAACTACGGAAAGAGAAAGTAATGGTCTGATGTAAGATTTAAGCTTCTTCTTTAAGTTTCTATGCACATTTTGTGACGTGTTTAAAGTTCCATCATTTAAACCCAGGCAGCTTGATAAATATTTGACTCTTTATCAAAGAAATGTTGCTTTTGATTTCTCAATATCAGATCTTGCCAATGAAAGCATCAAAGACTAATCGAGGTTACTCCCTGTTTCATGTTCTATTGTACACACAATTAAAGATAAATGCTTGTCTTTTAAGTTTGGTTATTTTCAATTTGAGTGTAAACTGAAATACAAACAAAAAAACATTACTAATTACAGGTGTTCTACATCCAATGTCACTGTGGACCCCCCTGCTGACACTATATACAGTAACACAAAGGTCTTTATTTATATGCCCAGACTCCTGGAAGGCAGAATTTATCAAGAACGAAAGGAAGAAGCTGCTGAATTACAAAGCTCTGCTGGTGAAGTCCCTGCAGCCGGCAATTTACTGCCCGTTCGCTGGCTTCTTTGTGGAGGCCCATCCATCAGACAGGTACTTTGTTCAGAGGGGTTGGCCAGGATCTGTACAAGAACAGCAGATCACAATAATGTACAGCAAGGATAAATTACTTTGAATGATATTTATATTTCCCTCCTCTTTCTTTTAGCTGTATCAGAGTTTATATGAAGTTTGTCTTGGAATAAACCTGCACTTTGCTTAGTGGTATTCTTGGGTAGCAGTTGTTGTTTGTTTGTCTCTACTTTATGCGTGTGTGTGTGTCCAGATACATCAGGGAAACAAATGTTAAGAACAGTCCCGAAGACCTGAATGCTCTCATCAATAAGTTTGCACCAGACATCAAGACATGGACGCCCAAGCCGGGTGCTGTGCTGGACCTTGGCCTGGCTCTGAGAGACCCCACCAACAGGTACACTAGCCCTCAAGCAGTCTGCAGACTGGGCCGATCCAAACGGGCCGGAACCCAGTTAGGTAGCAGGCAACAGCAAATACACTTTGCTACTAGATAGTGTTTTAAACTAGCATCATCTTTTTTTTAACAAAATATTTTCCAGCCCGAATTACAAGCTTTTGTCTTGAATCAATGCATTGTTTCAAACTTGAAAGATTTAGTAACTACGGCCGGCAGGGCTTAGCAAAAGGTCAAATAACTTGGTGTCAATGCTTTTATTACACAAAGAAATGGAGGCAAAACTACAAACAAATAGAAAATTGAAATTATCATTGAAAATGCGAATACATAAAGACTAATACGTTTGATTTTATTTTCTTGTGAACATTTCCTTTTATCCATGACCAAACGCAGTGGGGCCATCACCAATCCCTCAGACAGTACAAAAATCTACAAGGACAGTTGGGATTTGGATCTGTATGTGGATGAACTGAACAGAGCAATCAACTGTGAGATATTTAAACATCAAAGCTGGACCCAGTTTTATTACACCTGGGCAGGCTTCCAAAACTACAACCTTGTTGTGAGGGTAAATACACTTGACAGATCTTCTCTGACCTTTTGAAACCTCTATCGTGAACGCTAGTTGGGTCTTCTCTCTTTCCTGAGCCGTGTAGCATAAAAACATGGTCTGATACACTTGATTCTGGTGTTCTACTGAAGAGTGGTGATGTGAGTCTTTTAGCCGGCTGTAGATTTGGTTGGAGATTGGAGGTGGGAGAGGACTTTAAATGGGTTTAAGGACAACTTCTTTGTTCCTTGATTTATGGAATATCTGTATAATAGAATTCTCTAAATATCGCTAGACTACACAGGAATGTCTTCATTTTTCTAATTCTGCATTCATTCGGAGATGAAATAAATAACCCATTTAAATATTTTAATGTCCTGGTAGAGCTATATGAAAAGTTGGGGATCTACAAAGGTTACAAAGAATCATTTCCTTGGGAATACACATCACTTCTCGCTTGAACGCACAATTCTGTAGAAATCTCTAATAGTTGTTGAATTATTTCATTCTGGACCAAAGTGGTGGAGCAACCCACAGGCTAGTGGGGCCATGACGCCACATGGGGAGGAAATCAGGTTACATTAAGATTTACAGCGCTCTGCTCGGTTTCCTCATCACTTTTTTCTTCCTCTACCTCTGTGATAATCAGTTTTTCATGAACTCGTCCCGCTGGCTGACCCTACGTTACTTTCTTTCTGTTGCTTTCTTTTAAAAATGGATGTCTGTTTGATTAAAAGCCAATGTCCCAACATGTATATTCAAGATGATTGAGACAGATGACAGCTTTGAGCCCCATGCTGACGGCAGTGACTACCTGGTGGACTTCTTGGATCTGACGTTCCCCACAAAGAGACCTGAGCGGGAGCACGCCTACATAGAGGTGAGAGTCCATGGAGACAACACGGGACAACAAGTCCAAAATCATAGCAGATAGAGAGAAGATGTTGCATCCAGCGTCTTTTTTTTCTGAGCGCGCCACCTTTTATTAAGCAGCCATTTCGCACTGGTGACGTCACTATAGTAACTTCAGAAGAAGCTTGGGTGTCTGATGATATTAAACTTATATTTCAGACTCGTAACAAAGACAGAAAAGCCCTTTTGCGTGAGCAAAGATCTGTGCTTTTTATACTATGGAGCTTGTTTCTGACATGACATTCTGACATACGCCTCTTAAAGAAATACATACATGATATTTGTTTCCCTGACAGCAGAATGATAACAGATACAGCCAGAAGTTCTCCAGCACTCACAATGCTGTGGATCCAAGTCTTCTCCATGAAAAAAGGATTTGATAAATATCTTGAGAGTTAATTGAGAAGCTTTTTTTTTTTAACACAGTATTAACCAGGATGCATCATGTTTTTGTCCTTCAAGATTAAAAACAGGATTGGGGTGATGAGATATGTGGTGCAGCAGGGTCTTCTCTGGGACGATCTGTACATCGGCTTCCAGAACCGCATACGCAGAGACCCAGATGTCTACCACCACAAGTACAGCCACTTTAATATCAATACATCAAGTTCATTGATAAACAGCAAACAATGACAGAAATGTGCCACAACAGCATTGAGCTTAATTATTTATGATCAGAGTTGTTGTAATGAAATATAGACATTGGAACTTGCCTCATCGTTATCTTCAAATGATATTGCAACTCTCTCAACTGACACTTGGATGACCATGAAATATTCTGAGTGTTGATAAACTAATAAGCCATTTTTTCATTTGATCCAATTTACCTGACGATGAACATTATGTTTACTCTCGCTCTGACATTGAAAATATTCTCAACTTGAATCCTTCTCGTTGGTCTCCAGGTTCTGGAACCACTTCCAGACGCAGCTCCCAGTTCGCAGGCCAGACTGGGACCAGTTCCTGCAGGAGATTTCCCTCCAGGAGCCTGACACAGCAGCTCGGGGCCAAGGAGCTAATTGTGTAACGTCTTGAAAAACAGATGTGTTTCTGGAGATTATTTGTCTTCTATTACTGGCCTGTAATCATTTAATGGGTTTGTCTAATTTAATCTAAAACTGGAGATAATTTGTGTGCTACTCTGTAATCAATTATACATGAAAGTAATGAAAGAATGAAAGGATCAGCCTTATTTACCACTTAATGTTTCTTTTGATTGCTTATATTTTGTTAAGCATTTCCTCCTTTGCAAATATCTATGTATCTTATGCACTATTTAATAAATGAGCCCCAAGGTGTTTTATGGCTAGATGACATTCTCAGGTAAAGAAGGGTTTTTATTTTTAAATGTGATTTGCAAAGTCACACATAGAGGAATGAGGTGTGATGAGCTGCAATTATTTTAGTTTATAATCCTGCTAGGAGTCATTTGTTGGGCGTCTAGTTTTATTGAAAGGGGATATGTTTTTTTGTATAATTTATAATAAATCATTATTGTATTGAGTAGTTTCAGTAATAAATTGAATGATTAACCACTTTTTTGTTTTAATTGCTTGTATTCTTGAATATATGCAGTGATTTTCCAAAGGCCTGAGCCACTTCTGTGAGCTGAAATACACTTAAGTTCTGTCCCAGCAGGAATTCTGATAACATAGAGGAGCTGTTTGTTTCGGTCTCAGCTTCTTCTATTTATTTTTGTTTTGTCATTTTCAAAATAATTGGATTTTGATATTCTCAGAGTTCACAAAAGAGCAAACTACTAAAATGTGGTTTGGCTGAAAACCAAAGTTGGCCGCAAGTATCAGGGATTAGTGTCACAAAAAGCCAAACCCAAAACCAGACAAAATCTTGAGGGTTCCGGAAAGTTTTTAATAAAATATTTCAATGGACTTGATTAGATTGTCTGAGTTGAACTTGATCCGAACTACAGAGACTCAGCGTCGCCACACCGTGGATGTATAAAGACAAGTGGTACATAGTGTTGGACGCTGAGTCTGTTTCATTTCAGTTGAAGTTACTCAGTGGAGCATGAAGCAAACAAAGTTCGACTTAAAAAAATAAACAATTTGATACAAACACAGATAAAAAAAATTATGTTGTATAGCTAAATTGATATGGATATTTGAATGTCTTCAAAACAAAATGTCACATTTTTTGATGGAAATAACATTCTACAGAGCAATTGTTTTTAGAGACAACCTGATATTCAAATTGAAAAAATAAATGCTGATAAAAAATGATGCGCCAGGCTAGTCTATTTTGCCAAAATGCTTCTCAATATCAATATCTTCTCAGTACCCTGGAGGTGTCTGATGGACCGAAACCTAGAGTGGATTCGGATTGTCAAAAAAGACCTCCTAATGTTCATACCTAACCATTCGTCATGGATTTAGGAAAGGAGGTTCATGGAATTCGACTTTCACTAAGCTTCATAGTTATGATGGCCCCTCAAGATAAGGTATTTGTGAGGAGCCATCTATTTGTATCAATTCCTTAATCGTCCAGCTCTCTTGCGTCTAGAGAGGGGGCCATTTCTTTCTGCAACTATGAAACAGCATGAGTTAAACCCATCCATAAACAGACATCAGAGTTGATCACTTTAAAAAATGTATACTTAGGAGGGACAATAACAAGGCTTGGGGGCTCTAGAAGCGTGGGGTGAATAGGAAAACCATCAGCTGCCTGGTCAACATTTACATTTATATTTAGAGGTGTTTTATCTTGGATGTTTCCTTGTGTAGGGGTAATGTGAACGGAGGGCAACCATATAAACGTATTATAAAAAAGAAACGTCCCTTTTTCGGGACTATGTATTTCAACAATAATGTTGTAAAAATCCAAATAACTTTACAGATCTACATTGTAAGAAGGGTTTAAACAATGTTTTCCATGCATGTTAAATTAACCATAATCAATCAATTAACATGCACCTGTGGAATGGTCGTTAAGACCTTAACAGCTTCCAGAGAGTAGGCATTTAAGGTCACAGTTTTGTCTACCGACTGTGAAAAACACTCAAAGATGCCCAGGGTCCCTGCTCATCTGCAGTGAACGTGCATTAGGCATGCTGCAGGGAGGCATGAGGACTGCTGATGTGGCCAGGGCAATAAATTGCCATGTCCGCACTGTGAGATGCCTAAGACAGCGCTAGGGAGACAGGACGGACAGCGGATCATCCTCGCAGTGGAAGACCACGTGTAACACCTGCACAGGATCGGTACATCCGAATATAACACCTGCGTGACAGGTACAGGATGGCCACAACAACTGCCCGAGTTGCACCAGGAACACACAATCCCTCCATCAGTGCTTAGACTGTCCGTAATAGGCTGAGAGAGGCTGACCGAGGGCTTGTAGGCCTGTTGTAAGGCAGGTCCTTACCAGACATCACCAGCAACAACGCCGCCTATGGGCACAAACCCACCTTCGCTGGACCAGACAGGAGTGGCAAAAAGTGCTCTTCACTGATTAGTCACTGTTTTGTCTCACCAGGGGTGATGGACGGATTTGTGTTTATTGTCGAAGGAATGAGCGTTACACCGAGGCCTGTATCCTGGAGCGGGATCGATTTGGAGGTGGGGGGTCCGTCATCGTCTGGGGCGGTATATCACATCACCATTAGACTAAGCTTGTTGTCATTGCAGGCAATCTTAATGCCTTGCGGTACAGGGAAGACATCCTCCTCCCTCATGTGGTACCCTTTATGCATGCTCATCCGGACATGATCGTCCAGCAGGACAATGCCACCAGCCATACTGCTCATTCTGTGCGTGAGTTTCTGCATGACAGCAATGTCAGTGCTGGATCCCAAGGTGAGGGCTAGGGCCATTCCCCCCAGAAATGTCCAGATACTTGCAGGTGCCTTGGTGGAAGAGTGGGGTAACATCTCACAGCAAGAACGGACAAATCTGGTCCAGTCCATGAGGAGGAGATGCACTGCAGTACTTCAAGCAGCTGGTGGCCACACCAAAGATACTGACTGGTACTTTTGAAAATTTTAAGTTTATGTCTTATGGTGTTGACTCTTGAAGTGTTCATACAAATATTTACACACATCAAGTTTACTGAAAGTACAAACAGTTGAAAGTCAGAGGACGTTTCTTTTTCTGCTGAGTTTACATCTGGAGCGGCAGGTGCTCTTGATGTGAGGGCACCTGTGAAAGGAATCTCTGCCGTGAGTATTTTGTCCACTTTGGGGTTTGACTTTGCATCACAGATCACCAACATTTTTTGTGACAGCAAAAATGTCAGCATACCTACTGATATGGACCTTAAATTAATTTGATGTAAGACACAAAATATTTCTGGTTTAGGTGGTGTTCATTTCAACCGTTTGTCACATTGCGTTTTATTTATATATTTACAGGCTACAACTGGACTCCAGACTGGGACCCCACCCCCACTAACCTTGTGACTGCTCCGGTGGCCCGACCCATTGCCCTCACAGTCACCTTCATCGCAGCGTATGCAGTTGGTCAGAATAATGCCAGTGTTTAAGGTTAATAAACTGCTCAAGCAGATTAAAAAAAGATGAATAATTTCTTTATTTTTACAAAAAGGTAATTGACTTATTGTCCAAAAAGGACAGAAATACGGACTTATTCTGTATCATCTTCCAAACCGCATATAGAACTTAAGTTTATTTGCCATAATAATTGTCAAATGGAATTAAAGCAAACCTAAAGTCCAGGTTGTAAAAAAAGAAAATCTGCCTTTAATTTCGCATTTTCATCCGAGCCGGCCTCTGAGGAAGGACAACAACATATGATGAAAACCTATAAATACTGACCGTTGAAAACAATGATAATAGTTAAATGAGGCAAAGCAGAGGACAATGTATAACATTGCTCACTGGTGTACCACTGGTCTCCAGATAGAGAATCATACTGGGCAATATGAACATGAATTCTTATTCCACGTGGCTGAACAAAAGCCTCTTTACTGTGTGTCTGATGCCCCAACTGCCGGGGTCCTGACAGGGCCCTGCAACAAGCCCCAGACCACATGGTCCACAACACAAGTACCATGGGGACAGTCTGTGGTTAGCCTTTGTTTTTGTTCTTTTTCTTTTTGCCATTGGTGGTGCTGATGGGCGGAGTCGGGTTCACTGGAGGAGCCCCTAGTCTCTTGGTTTTGGCCCTTTTCACCTTCTCCTTAATGGCTTCGATGTCCAGCTTGTGTTCTGTAGGAGCTGGAACAGAAACAAGTGTTGGGGGAAGGTTAACGGCACCACTGCGGTGCACAGGTTCACACATATTTGCTTTGTCCTCGGATGGAGATTTGTGCACTTATTTCTACCTTTGTTGGTTTTCTTCATCAGAGGCTTCTCTTTAGGAGGAATGAAAGCTTTGTTCCGCTCTTCCTGCTTCTTGGTCAGCGCTTCTGCTTGTTTCACCTGTGAAAAAGGAACAATGACAGTCACACTTTTGGCATTTCTAAACAATAAGATGGACCTCTTCCTAGAGACTACACTAAGTTGATAATGTTTTTCAATACAACTAACCAAGCAACAGGATCAAAGGAGTGGTGGGGTTGCAGCCCTCCATTTCAATCTGAATACACAGCGCTTGTCTCTTCTTTGTCTTACGTATAATCTCTCTCACACACACTCTGAACGTAGGTTTTTCTATTGCAAAATCCGAGTTCTTATCATGTCTGGGTATACTTTAACTCAATGCACACATTGTAAAAACTTTTAAGAGACAGGTGTGGTACTCGAACTGGCGTTTTTTTACTATTTAACACTGGTTTACTTTATTAGTTCTGTAGGAGGGACAGTTTGACTGCCAACCCAACCCCTGTTTGATGAACGCTCAAGCTGTTATTACCACACCCATTGGATTGTGGATAAAAATTGGAAGAATCCCCCCCCCACACACACACAAAAACCTTTGTCAAAAGGCATCAAGTTTGCAGGTATGCATTACTGTAAGAGATGGATCCACTCAGTGCTCACCTTTATCTCCTCCATCTTCTTCCTCTTTTTCACACTTTCATGCAAGAAAAATTCTCCCGTGGCCAGCTCCTTGTCGACCTAGAAGATCCGCAAAGTGAAACTCAAAGTTATAACCCATCCCCGTCTACAGTTTTTTTAATAGACCATGTTGCATGAGCTCAACCATTGAAGCTAGTGAGCTAACAGAGGACAAGATAAGAGGCAGTTATCACCAACCATGAATGTTAGCATAAACATGGGTAAAGCAAGGGTCTGACCGTGCTCTCCGGCTGTGGCGGAGGGAATGGTGTGTACTCCTTCTTCAAGCTTTTCTTCTTGGGCTCCCTGCGCTTTGCCAGGTTCTTGTGGCGGAACTTAGGCAGAAAGCGCTCCCAGCTCTGCATTCGCAGGTCGGGGTCTTTGGACAACTCCTGTTTGATCATCAACGTCTGACGGATCCGGCCATTTGAATGGAGTGGCAGGGGCGTGGAGTAAAAGTAACAAAGATGTGATGCTTTGCCGATCCAAGAATGTTTTATTACCATTGCATGGTTATACTGTATTTAGTAAGTCTTTGAATTGAAGGCAGTGTTAGCCAGCTAACCTGGAAGAATCACAGGATATGGGGACACCGTTTATGGAAACTTTACTTACTGAAAAAATACTACTTCATTTCATGGATGCAATGAGTTATTGTTATCATCTCAGAGCCCCAGGTGATGAGGACCACATGGGGCGCTATCATGCCCTCAGCTCCAGGTTGAGCCAGCCTTGGCGTACAAACCCAGAGGGGTTTATTTCAGTCAGGAGATCAAGAACAAGGATGGAAATATCTTCATTGGGCAAGCAGTCAGTCCAAACGTTCTAATTTATCCGGTAAAGCAGCTGTCAGCAGCTTAAACGTACCTTAATGTTGTAGATGGGATGAATGTTCTTCATCGTGTCCATCACCACCTTGCGTACCTAATAAGACAGTGGAAGACGCGTGAAAAAAATAAAACAAATCCAGTGGGATACATATTATCATTTCAAAATGACAGAAAAAAGTACAAATGTGTGAAATCAATTATTCAAACACAACTATTTCTCCGCTGAATGTTTCCTTTTTGGAATCCTATTTTTCATGACAGCAGCGATACTGACAGTCACTGCCCGACTCTGCTCTCATTCTTTGGTTTCGGCATCTCATGTTCAGACGATCTGGAACTAGCCAGAGGTTGGAACGAGATCTAATATAATAAAACCGGTGTCAAAAGTATAAACTATAAAAAGGGGAAAAAATCTCCATTATAAGGACAAACTCTTAATGCGTAACCTCGCTCACAGAACATGTCAGTCAGTTACAATATTATCGGACGGTGCCTTCATCATCATCATCATCATCATCATGTGACCGGCCGTTTGGATGATGGAAACATGGCGGTATTCAGAGAGGCAACGCTGATACAACAGAGGGACAAATGCATCGACCCGCATGCTGTATAACTTAAACAGATAAAAAAAGAACCCATTTTCCAGTGACGGCTAAATAACACGAGTGTGAAGAGGACGGATACACATGTTGTTCCCATTGACTGCAGTGTCTCCCCCAGGTTTACTACTTCGTTGGTTATCAAACCATTGGCCAAATAACCAGTCTTCTCAGGCTTTATGAGCAAATACAGAATCCCTTTGCGTTAATTTCTAAAGCCTCGCATTAAGACACACATCACTTTATTTAAGTCGCTGCGCTACTCGCTAAGTCGCTGTGTTGTGGCAGATTCCCAATAAAGTTAGAAAAAAACATTTCCGGCAAACACATGGTCATGAAGACTCATTTAACGTTACATGGACTCTGCATGAGGAGGATGAGGGTCCATGTCGATGAATATCCAACTGAGATCGGCTTGTGCAGTTCAGAAAAAGGATCCTACCACCGAAGGAACCGATCACACCAACCTGCCGTTCTGGCAAAGCAACCTGCCACCGACCACTTTTCGCAATCTGCGTCACTCTGATCTGCAGGTGCATCGCAGAGAAAACCAATAGGGTGTCTGAATGGTAAATGTTTATACTTCTCATCCAACCACAATCACTCTATCGAGATGGCGCGATTTATCTGGATAGGTTTTTTGTGTGTGTGTGTTTTTGAAGGATGATAAGCCGGAATGAAAATAGGCAAGAATTAAATAACGAGGCTATTTTAAAAATGTGTGAGTAGAAGTAAAAAAGTAGTCTGAAAAATACTCCAGTAAAGTACAGATACCCAAAATGTCTACTTAAGTAAGGTAACAAAGTATTTGTACTTTGTTACTTGACACCTCTGGCATTAAGACTATGCTAGGCTGGCTACTGATGCAAGAAGCTGCTTTTGCATTTGAATCAGTTTGACATCCCAGAAATATCGTTCTGTCTGTTGACCCTACTTCAATGAGTGTAGTTAGTGAAAGTGTGGGGTTAGTAAAGGTTCATACATCCTTTGTTTTAAACTATGAATTGTATTTACACTTGTGGTTTTCAACTCCTGTGGAGAGAAATAAGTTCTTACCTCCTTCAGGCCATTAAAAGGCCCGAGGGCTGAAACCGTGTTGCCCTGCACCATCACGTAGCAGTTTGTCAACAACTCTAAAGCCTGAAGAAAAAAGGAGAGAAAAGTAGAGTACTTAAATTGGGATAGGCTTAGCTCATTACTTTTACTAAAAATGAGCTGTTTATAGCAACAAGGATTCAGACAAAATGTGTGGCTGATTAAAAGAACGCAATGCTTCCCCCTAGTGACCCTTTTCTCAAAGTACACCATTGTATCTGCAAAGGAACTATTTTTTTTGCATCCCAGATGTTTAAAATCTGCCTTGGGCAGAACTAAGACATGAGAAGAGGAGGCTAGGAAAGTCGGACCTCAAGTCCAGTGAGCATTCGAGTATTTTGACCGTATGCAAAATAGGCCTTGATAATGGTATGGGACTCACTTTTAGGGTGGAACCCTTGGGGCCAATCAACCGCTGTCTTCGCTTCACAAACCGCTCTCTGTTTCTCACCAGGGTGCCGACTTTGATGATGTCACACGCCATGTCATCCTGTAATATCCGCACAGCCTGAAGGCAAAAAAAAAAAAAAAAGTACCAACAAAGCAACACAGAATAATAAATTATTATCAAGCTTTCATTTTCTTAAAGCACAAAGTGCAATCTTTAGGAAGCAAAATCTTTTGCGTCTGCTCCAAGACAGACAGCGTTTCAGAGGACAACCCTGCACGACAGACAGCGGTGTCCTCAGATCGTTACCTGTTCGAATGGGACACTCCTGGCCAGCAGCTTGATTAGATCTCTGGCTCTCACGATGGCGTATGGGTCGTAAGTCTTCTTAGTGGTGCAAACTGAGATGCTTCCCTCAATCAGGTCCAGAGTGGCTTTGATGTTCTGGAAAGAACAGATATCCACGTTAGGTAAGGTCTCAACACCACCATATGACCAGAACTAGACTGCAAAGTGCAGAACAGCAATTCCGACAGTGATAAAAATAACCCAGTCAGGAGCATTTCCATGTGCATACCAAGGGGTCAATGGCCAGAAAAGGCTTTAAAATACAAATGCTTTAAAAAAAAAAAAAAAAAATTCATTACTTTGAGACAAACAAATATCTTCCTTCATCATACAGTCACCCCCTCACGGCCACATAAAATTGGAGTGACGTCGAGTGCGAAAAGTGGTTGGTGGAAGGTTTCTTTGTCAGAGCGGCAGGTGCCGATGGTCGGTGGTAGGATCCTTTTTTAAGAACGGCATAATCCGATCTCAGTTAGGTGTTTAGCGACATTCAAATTCCATGTGACTTTAAATGAGTATCTTCGTGACCGTGGGTTTTCCGTACACTCTTTTTCTAACTTTATTGACAATCTAGCAGATCACGGAGACTTGCAAGTAAATAAAGTAATGAGTGTCCTAATGAGAGGCTTTAGAAATGAACACAATGGAATTCTGTATTTGCTCATAAATTCTGAAACGGGTCATTTGGCCAATGTTTTGATAACCGACCGAAGTCAGCGGACAGAGAGAACCAGCGGACTGACTATTACCCCTCGCGCCCCCCCCGGTCCGGCCAAACCGTTTGCCCGACCACTGACAGTCACTGGAAAATGGGTTCTCGCTCAGCAAATACAGAATCCCTTTATTTAAGACGCTACGCAACTTGCAAGTGGCAGCAAAGACGCCACGTATGTCATTATTAGATTTAAATGAATTGTGCCTCGTCAGTGTGGAGAACCCACAGTACCTCTGCCTTTTGGGTGTCTGGTGTTGAAATGAAACCTGTTACAGCCGACTGAGAGGTGGCGTCTGAACTTGTAACGTCGTTGCAGGGATTAACCTGGCCCCGCTATGGCTAGCTGCTGCAACGTATCGCTGGTGCTTTCCTCCCATGGTCCCTAATGAAAAGGTCTTTCTGCATAGTTTACACATTGCCTCATTGTTTTTTTCAATCAACGCCAACCACCTGCTAAATGCATCCTCTTGTCGTTAAATTTGCACTTCCCCATCTTCTTTGCATTTTCAACCTCACATCGACAACCGGTTAATGGCGACACGCAGCCTGACGTCAGCGTCTGTAGCCGACGTACCGTAAACAGCTATTAAATTGCAGAGACTCATTTCGCAGAATACTAAATTAATCAACTATTAGATGTTTTAGAGATTTGCTCGCTCGCAGAGCGTGAACTTCCTCGCTCGCGAGGTTAGTCTCTGCTTGTGTTCGAAGGTGTTTTCTACGTGCTCGCTGTTTTTCTTTGACAGTAAGGGGGCGGAGCCAGTCACCATGGTATACACCTGATTGGTTACAAACCCCGTCTTTGGATTGGCTGAAGTGACGCATTCGCACAACTATAGAAGCCCATTTCCGCACTAATGTAAGGGGATAAAATTATGAGATAAAACGTTGTCAAAAAACAAACGCCCCCCTTCGGTAATCGTAGTGGACCGTAGATGACAACCAGCTACAACCATAATTTACCATCATTACCGGCACATTAAGAGCAATGCGTCCAGCTCGCAGACCGGTCCGTCAGTCTGAATCTAATATCTTGCCAACTTTACCGAACTATGAAGGAGCCTGCGCATATCTTACCTCATTATTTCGATTTTCTACCCATATTGAAAGTTGGCAAGATATTCACAGATTTGGATTTTTTTCCGGTATTTTACAAAATATTGTGTTGAAATGCAAGCTGCATTGCAGTGTTAATTTTGGCAACTATTTTTGATTTAGTCTTAGTCTTTAGACGAAAAATGCATATTAGTTTTAGTCACATTTAGTCATTTTAATCCTTCTTAACTTTAGTCGACAAAAAATAGTCTAATATGGCTATTAAATAGGACCAGAACTAACCTCCTTTTCTTCCCTTCTCAGGCCCAGGGACCCCCTGTGTTGTGTCTACAACTGCATAATAGTCTAGCTTGCAGTACTTGGTTGTCCATCAGATGTCCCTCCTAGGACAGGTCTATAGCAGGTCGGCAAATGTTTTGACTCGCGGGCCACAATGGGTTGTAAAATGTGACGGAGGAGCCGGGCCAAGAACAAATGGTTGAAGTGTTTGTGTGAGCTGATATAAATGGCATGTGAAAAATCATTACATGAAAGGATTTGGATTTTAACAAATAGCAAAGCATTTATTTGCAAGGAAATTTAACAAATTGGCAAAGGTGTAACAACTTCATGAGGACCAGGGATCTAAACGCAACACTTTGCGGTCTCTTTACTTGCAATGCTTTTGACATGGCCACCGGAAACTTCATGGTCCTCTATTGTTTCCACTGTCCAAACCAAAGAGACCTTAACGTCCTACAATCGGTGCAATACATCATTTTCTTGGCCTCAGAACCTGCAATGACTATTATGTTACACGTGTTTGTGACGGACCGTCTCATCCAGCCGAGGAAACGCTGCCTGCCGTCGCCAGAGAACAGAGCAGAAAGGTCCGACAGCCTGCTAACAGTCAGCTAAACCGAGACAGCTGAGCTAAACTAACGAAGCCACATTCAAACTCGCCGAAGCGTAAAATAGTCGGCGCGGTCCTGAGTCGGTGCACAAGAACCACCGATGCGAGCGAGCGTTCGAAGTTCGTGGCTGACGTCATCATGACGCGTTAATATCCGCCGTACTTTGCCGGTCTGTTGTCTGTCAGCTGCGTGCGAATTTAGGGGGGAAAAGTATTGTGACTTCGTCAACCACCAACATGTTCGTCTCGTCAACGAAAGAATAGATTTAGTCATAGTTTTTATTTTTTAAGATCGTTTTCATCACGTCTTAGTCATGGAAAAAAGGTCCGTTACCAAAAAAATTTCGTCATTGTTTTCGTCGACGATATTAACACTGCTGCAAGCCTAGAAAAATGGCTCGACACACGCAAGGACACTAGGGAGGTGTGAAAAGACACGCAAGGGGGGCTTGCGTCTGCGTCGCTCTGAAAACGCAGAAGCATAAACTAGGCTTTAGGAAAAAGTTTGAGCGAACTTACCACATCGCTTAAGGCCTTCTCCACAAGAGGCCAGCACTCCTTCAGGTAGGCTTCTCTGTATTTGGGGAAGAGCGTTGCAAAGCTGCTCTCCTCCAACAGACCCCGCGGGTTGTCGTCTTTGGTGAAAGACGCCTCTTTCCATCCATCAGGAACAGTAAGGAGGTCAGATTCGTCCACTGCATGACACGGATCAGATCAGAAACATGCAAAGTGTGTTGAAGTTCGTTTCCCCCGACAAACCAGTCAAACTAAATTGGTCAAGATACCAATATACAGACGGACCATGTTTAGGCAACCATTAAAGGATGAGGGCTTTAGAAGAACAGCTACCAGTGGATGGTAGTGTTTTCATCTGTAAGGTTATTCTATTGTAGAAAGGTGATCAATAAAATAAAAAAAATCAATTGTTACTTCGAAAGGAGACCCTGGTGAGTACGTAATGTGCAATAACCCCCATGTTCGCATTGCAACGTCTGACCACAGCAAGAGTGGTTTCACAATGTACCAGCAAAGAACACAGCGAATAACGTTGTTGTTTCGGGGTTGAGTTGCAGAGATGAACAATGACTTTAATTGCTACATGCAATAAGTCAGACCCTCAACAGATAAAACAACGTTAAATATGTTTCTTTTCGTTTTCCATGGTGCGCAATGAAAGTCAAACAGGGGGAAAGTGGAGAGATATCGTTATACAAGTTAGTTAACACATGTTTCCAACACACGACGTCTCCCTTGCTAGCTTAAAGCTAATCCATGCGTGTTTCGGAGGTGGCATGTACACACTTCAAAGAAGCGGACATAATTCCGCTTTACTTCACAGCGCATTGGTCGCTGGGTGTCAAATATGTTTGTTCATCTCGCCATCAATAATTACTCACCTTGGTGTTTAGTCTTTTTCACTTTTTTCCCTGTTTGTGTTTCACTCACGCAGTCTCCCCTCTTGGAGGACGCCATTTTGTAGGAGGGTCCCACTTCTTCTTCTTCGTAGAAGTATTACGGTAGCTTGCACCCTCAGAGCTGCAACACTGCCATCTCCTGGAGCAAACCTGTCCTGCCGCTTCGGGTATTTTCTGACATGCCGTTTGAACGCTGGTTCATTGTCACCTTCTTGGTCAGAAACCCTCAACTCAAACAGAGTCAGTGGTTCTCTGAGGGGAATCAGCAGAGCAGGAAAGGATTTGGTTTTTGTCAGACACGACTTTGCTATAAATCCTGGGTTTCAGGTTCCCTGTAAGTAAGGCAGCTGGACGTCACTACTAGCTGAGTTCAAGATTGCAAAACTTGAAATTCCCACGGTCTTCCTCCAGGTATGATTGGCACCGCAGCCTTATTTTGTTGCATGTATGTTCCTGTGAACAATGGTTGTTATCATTAATGATAACAGACTGCATGGTACAGGACAATATTTATAGTGTTGCTAATGTCCAAAGCACATAGTGGGGACCTGAATAAGAGGCATGAGCTATTGGAGGAACTCATCAAGAGGGGGTCCCAGCACTGCTCTTATTCCAGGCTTAAAGTAAAAGGAACTTCTGAAATGGATAATGCAGATAATATTGATGAAATATACTAACTAATTTGACCGCAGTAGAGTAAAAAGGTATTTGAGTGGGGAAGAGACACTGCTGCATAAAGAGCTGAACAAGGTTGTTAATTCACACCTCTAACACTAGCAAACAATGCAATGCAAGATCCATTCATTGGGAGGGAAATCAGCTGCAGATGGGAAATTTCTACCCCAATCATGAGGCTTACATTAACCTAACAATTAGCAGCTGCAGCTATAAAAATGGTTATTTCAGGTGTAAGAACTGTAAGGTTGAGAGAAGACACAAACGGCTGTTAATTGAACAAATGAGTTCTACGTGTACAGTTAACGTTGTTCTAGTCAACATGGAGCATAATAGAAAGAACACCTCTCAAGTCTGAACACGTGGGCCTATGATCTCCATCGAGCCTAAGAACACCATCACTAGTATACAGATTAGAAATGCACTCAGTATCAGTATTGTTTCTCCGTTCTGTAATAGTCAAATAGTTCTTATGTCACCAGTGTTCCCTCTTTCAAATCGTTTCATCTGTAAAAACTAAACCATCATTTCTGTCTAATTAGAAATACTGTTCAGCATCTTCATGATTCACACAACTCTCACAAATGGGGATCCAAACACTTTATTGCAGCTGAAGACGCTCATAGTATGACATGACAGCTTTGGTTGCACTCACTAAGAGTACGGCTCCTCCCAAAAAGCCTATTGATCCGGCCACAATAGAGATCATAGTCATGTGCTCCGTCCCTGCAAGGAGAGGCACACAGGTCAGTTAACTGGAACCACAGTTCATGAATGCACCTCACACTGAACGCCAAGACTTACCATACCGAAAAACAATCCCAAAGAACTTCATGCATATCCATTACTTCAAGTGAGTGAAAAACTCATTCCAACTTGTCAGAAAGATTATAACGTCCAAATATGAAGTACAACAACAGCTGCAGGATGATGTGATCACGTGACCGTGTACTGTGGACTCCTCGTCATGAACTCACAGTCAGATGGGACTCCTGTCGTCCTCTTCCGGTTGATGACCACCACAGGTCCAGCAGACACAAGAGCAGCTTATTTCCCCTCTCTGCCCGTCTGGCTCACCAACCTCTTGGTGTGCTGCTGGCTGGTGCAATTCTAAGGCAAAATAAGGCAGTTGATGACTTTCACTCCCCGACCGTCCAGTTGGGTCCGTAGTTGTCATAATGACACGTTGTCACAATCAAACCCGTTTAGAAATTAGGCATATATTAACTAATTCAAAATTTAAACGGAACCTTGATGTATGAACTGCTTTTGGTTAAAATTCCTTGAATGACAGCGAAGCCATTGAATATTGCTCATTGAATATAAGTATTTATTTTCTGCATCAGACTTTTTAGACTGTACTTGCCAGTTGTCTCTGACGGCCGCTCGGCAGCCCAATGACAGACCCAATCCCAATCTGTACCTCTACGGATTTACGGACATTAAGGCGCGTTCCCGCTGACTCCTTGAGGGTTTCCATTGTCAATTGTTGAGTGTTTGAGGGTTCTCTGGCAGACATTTCAAGCCCTTTATGAACCCTTTTCGTAAACATCTGGATTAGATGCCGACTTTGCCCAAGGGAAATTACCCACAAGTCGTTGCAATGTGACGTTGAAAACGAGGAAACCAGTGATAGCATGGATGTATAAAAAAAGGTAAACAAAGAGGATGGGACACATGTGTTTAGACTGTCATACTCGAATGTATACATTTAAGATGGTATGGATTAAAGATAGGAAAACCCCACATGGAATCAGACGATATGTAGTAATTTAGTCTTTGAAGCCATTTTGACAAAAAAAAAAACATTTTAGAAAAATTTTAAATCACTCATTTTATGAGAAAGGAGCCTGGAAGACGTTTAAATCAGAGAGTAAAAAGTATCAAATAAATACTCGATTGCAATATTTTTTTTGACGTTGTCATGGTGACGTGACATGTTTCCCATTCATATTCACACCATTTAAAGCCCCCACGGATCACTTACCGCTGCATGTCAGGTAAGTCCCTGAGGGTTCAGGGAGGACATTGGGATTGGGCCATTGACCAATATTGATATTAGTCGTCAAGCATTTAATAAATTTTCCAAACTTTAACTTGGCGCAAATACTTGAACAACGTTAAAATTTGACACTAAATTGGCAGTCGTTAACTTAAGGTTACTTAACGTTAGCTTATTATTATTTAAAATATAAGACTCATAGACTTTGGTAAGTTAACGTGATTCAATAATGCAATTATTAGTGAGAAATAAAAAGTTTAATATCAATTGTTGTATATCAATTCACATTGTCACAAGACTAATTCAAGCTAGCTCACTGCCTTTGCGTTAGCTTAGCCACTTCCGCAGCCGCCCTCTGCTAATGCATCACGTACGAAAGAAAGCTTCTCCCACGTACCTTCCTATGGGACTATGTAATACATTACGAGGAAAAACGCGATGTCAAACAGCACGAACAGCCAGACGTCGAACCAATAAGAATGTTTCGGTAAAGATATCGAAGTTTCACTAGTTTTAAGCAGTTTGAGGTCTTTTTCCGACTGAGCCACGGAAATTGCACCTTTCCCCATGTTTGCTTTGGGGACAGCCGTGCGCGAGCCGGAAAACAACACCAACGTGACGTCCTTCAAAATAAAAACAAAAGAAACGTCCTTTCTATATTTTCAAAGGTGTGATTTGTTAGTTAATTAAATTAAATTGAATACCAGTTTTTTATATATTGTATCATGTGAAAATATACTGGAAACCCTTTTTAGCTCATTTGTGCTGCGTGTCAACAGATGTAAGAAGACCATCACCAAAACCTTATTTCCTTCTTGTTACCATCTGTCTATCTTTCTGACTACACGTGTCAATGGCATCGTGTTTACATCAATGCATTGCCATTTCCTATTATCTTAGAATTATTTCACTTATTGCTTTCACAGTTTAGATATTGCAGTATTCATTATACTTGATATAAATACAATTTGGCATTCAAATTCTTTTTTTTTTTAATGACAGCTGCAAAGTTGTTCACTTACTGTAATTTTGTCAAACCACTGCTAGGAGTGACCGATAGTCTTATAATGCTACTCTTGACACCAGTTAAGCTAAAATCATCTAAATTCTAAAAGTTTGCGCAGATTTATACAAGATGAGCGTGTTTCTCCGGATGCTCTAGTACAGGGGTCTCAAACTCAAATCAGCTGCGGGCCAGATGCAGCCCACTTCAACCGAACGCGGGCCAGACTAGCGTCCGAACGGCATGGTCGACAATAACACAACTTAACACTCACTTTCAAAAGCAGCCATTGAACCCCACCCTGGGGGATCGGTCCGAATGAGACTACAACACTAGTCCTCCTTTAACTCAGCGGGGGAGACCTAAGGTCATGTGACCGTGGAATTCCTTTATAGCCAAACGTGAAGTTACGTGAATCGAAGCTGCGTAGTAATGGACGGAGACGCTCGTCGGTGACGTCAGATGCTTCACGTGTTGTTAGTGTGAGTCGTAAAGGAAAACTTTATTAAACGAACGATGCTAACGGTTAGTCACATGATCACCTGCGCGAAAGAGGGCAGGAAACTGAATTTCACCCTCCTGCTCTCTGCACCTCGGCCGACACACACGACCCGCCCCCCATGTCAGTCACATGCATGCCACGTTCACTGGACAAGCACACAGTAGGAAACCAGAACATCATAACATGTCCCACACAGCAGCTGACAGTGGGGTTACAGTATAAAACTTGCGGGCCGCACTAACATTACACTTTCATATTAAGGATGGGGCCACAAAATATCGGCCCGAGGGCCGCAATTGGCCCGCGGCCCGCGAGTTTGAGACCCCTGCTCTAGTATATAAAACCAACCGAAATGAATCCATAAATGCAACAGTCACTTTGGCAGAAATAATATTACTTGGGACCATTTATCATATGACTTTTTAGAATTATCTCAAGTTAAAAGACCCTGTAACATCTTGGCAGTCTTAATAGTCTCTTTGAAATACTCTGATGCCTTTACCCACCACTCCAGAAACTAGACCAAAATAGACCACACACACACAAATAAAAGCCCACCATACTGTTAGCTCATGTGACACCAAATACCATTTATTAGGGCTTTACAAAGACTACAAAATCCTCCAGATGAGTTAAATCACTGTCTCTGTCTATTTACATGATATGTTACATACAAATGTACAAAATATAAAACATTTAAGCACAAATGTTTTACCCCCCACCCCCGAAAAAAGAATTCAACTTTCCCTCAAACCAGAGTAAATGCTATGGTTTTTTAACTGAGATGTAACTGCAAAGTGTTGTGCGGGAAACACGACCAGCTGATCATCAACACTATGGCGTACACTGTTAATGGTGTCAGTGCTCTGCTAGCTCGGGAACTCATGGCCTACACCGGGAGTGAAGAGTAGCTGAGAGGGTGATTTGTGGGAGGTCTAAGCTCAGGTGTGATGCATGGGTGCAACTGTAGGTAAGGAAACACTGGTCGGCCCCGTAACTACCCCAGTACCATGCAAGGACACAACCTTGCAGGTATACGTGGGACTGTGAGAGTCTTGGCCTTAGATACACATGTGAAGCTGAGCAACAGGTACGATGGTAGAAGGTATTATTGTCCTGAGGTTGTGACAACACAACTTCTTGGTCTCCGGTGGGCTTTGACTGACCAGTAGCACCTGTTGGTTGTTGGTAAATGTATACAGTCAGTTCAGCTTCGATGCCTCGGACAGCCGGAGAAACACGAGCTTGGGTGAAAAATGTCCAGAGAGGAGCATCTAAGGAACAACAAGGATTCCTAAAGATGGAGAGAACCGAGAGAACTTTACAGCTGAGGGAGGGGAGAGTAGGATATTGGAAAAGTGCATTTTTTTTGTTCTCAGTCTGTGATTTTTTAGTGAGTTAAAACATTTTTCTTACTGTACACATTATGCCTCCTGCACAGGCAAAAACATCCAATGACCACAAGACACACACCCGTTTGTGAGTATTGAGTTTGTGCACTCATATTTTTTCTTTTTCTCTCTGTTCTCAAAGTACAATAATTTACTCAGCAAGTTAAGCATGTTGTTACATCAACAGGGCTGAATGCATCTTTGATTCCCTGTGCATGACTGAAGTATATACAGTACAATCCAGCCCAACTTCATAGTGTGCAAAACCAACCCGCTCGTTAAACAAAGAGAAGACAATCAAAATTCTAAATGGCTTCCGTCCATTACACGCATACATAATGGTAAAGGTCTCTTCTCAATGCACCCCCCTTTAAAAAGCTTTAAAACATGCTCATTAGGCTAGAAAACCCCCAAACTCTTGGGTTGTGCTCCTATCAGTTCAAGTGAGCCCAGCTCAATTGGATGAGAAAACAACAACTAAAAAACACCCCAACCTCTCTTTATATGTTTTTTTTTTACAATATTGGTTAGTTTTGAATTAAAATACATAATCAATTATTAAATACTTTATTTGTCAGAAACAAGGAAAGGGAGGTTTGGAGGAAGGTAATAACAAAACAGGCTGTTTTTCCGACTACAAGCAGCTTCTTTGACGTAGCAGGAAGCAGATCATCATCGGCCAACATCAACGTCTCTTCTTCTCACTGAGGATGCTTCCTGAACTTTTGCACATCTGAGGCAGTGAGAAAGCACCAGTATCACTGTCCCCCTATTCAGCTCTTGGGCCAATCGTGTTAACTTTCTTTTCAAAAGCATTTGGATTTCTTTTTGGATGCCAGATGGGTGCAGATAGTGAACAAGACAAAGTTAAATGAGTGACAGAGAGTTCCACAGGACACTGTCAGATTGCATCATTCAATTTCATATGACTGATACATTGTTAATTGTTTAGCTCTGATTTGTATTTGTTGGAGTTAAAGTCAAGTTTCTCGTTACTTTCTGAATTGCCCCGTTTCAGTATAATGCCCTGCCCGCTTGGTTCTCCATGCAGAGTAACGCAAATGTCTTGCCAAGCCACGCTCCCTTTGGCATCGGATGCTACGCCGGCTAGGCTTTCCGTTCCGGTCCTTGTGCAGCGTACAGTGACAAAGATTGCATATTTGCCACTCAAATTTGATCAACTGTAACTCTATAGCTAATTAAATGTTACACAATACATTTTTTTCCCTGCTGTCTAATATGTGCACTTGCTCCCGACGTGAAGATCCTGTCCTAGGCAAACACTCAGCATCCAATCAGTTGCAGTCCACGTGGAAGTAAAGAAAAAGCATTGTCGTTGTCCCCAGTGAGGGTAGATACGTCCGTTTGGCTCATAGCTTGCATACTTTTTCATATATGTGTATTCTCACTTTTTAAAGATACATTGGGAAAGTCGTTTAGAATGATGACTAATATGTTTTGTTAATGCTATCTTACTACTAAGTGGTAATATTGTCAGGAAATTGTGGTAACATCTGCATGTGAGACCTTCTAGACCTTCTAGAACACAGAGTTCCTCTCTAACTGCATCTCCATGTGCACCAAAGGGTTGCAGAGTAATGGGGGCTTCTGATTGGACAACCGCTGTTCAAGAGAGGGGTTTAATTAAGAACCCTCATTCCATGAGGACCCACAGAAAGTGCTGTCTGCTGATAAAGTGACACATTATTAGCAATAGAGTGACGGGAAATCCAAGTTGACGATCATGCATCATTTGGCAAGTCTATATGTAAATCTAAGGGAAACATTGGCACTTTTCCATTTTCTTTTTCCTCCACGGTAGCACTAGATGACACGAGGACCATGGCGCTTTCGTTGTGCTGGTTGTCTGCGTGCATAGCGGGGGGGGGGGGAGGAGGGGTGGCAGCGCCTGACACCAAGGAGGCACGGAGCGGGAGACCAGCACACCTCAACCGAAGGCCGGGCAAGACACGCGACTGTGCTCAACAATGAAACTCAAAATAGCTTGTGAACAGCCACTTTGGCTGAATGTGTTATTTAACAACGTCAGTGAACAGCCAATCAGGCCACCACTGCATCACTTGTCGACGTTCCACAGTATTCTCTTGACTCCCCATCATTAGTGGAGTTAGAGATGAGGGTCCCGAGGTGGAAACAGGCAGGCTGGATGGTCACAAGGAGGGAGAGGGGGCCTCCGATTAAAGGACAGTATCCTCCTGCTGCCTGTGGCTAAGCATGTGTGTGTGTGTGTGTGTGCATGTTTGTACGAGAAGCACCTCTATAAACAAGGAAAGTTATAAACAACAGAACTACCTCCCACCATTGTAAACATTTGAAGATATATCTGAAAAAAAAGAAAAGAAAAATAATCCAATTCAAACTTTGGGCTTTCTGTTTTTTTTCTAACACGATCTACGATCTGTTGTTTGTTTGTTCACTCCTTAAAAGTTAACTTTGTATCCTTATCAGACCTGTCCTGCCTACACATGTATGAAAAGTTGTACTCTAAAATGTTATACATACATTAAAAAATAACCAGCTGACCTTATCTGAGTTGGATGCTGTGCTTCAAATCATAAAATCATAAAATAATAATTTTAATATTGCACCATAGTAAGGTAAAAAAAATGTTTTTTTCAAATGGCGGGTGTATCATTTTGGATAATAAAACTTTCCATACATCCTACATCTGTGCGCTACAGGAGGTGTCAGGCGGAAATTTAAAGGTCCCCCTTAAGGTTCGGTCTGCCGACGCAGCTCTGGGTCTCATAGCGCCGACTCCAGTGAGGAGTCCAGCTGGTCGTCATGGTGACTGGTGCTGTCGCTGTCGCAGCTCTGCGTGCTGGAGTAATTGGCTGCCTCCTGCAGCCGTAGCAACATGTTCATCTGAAAATGCAGCACAGAGGCAGAGCCTTAATGATACACAGGGATAGAGAGGCGATTGCGTTATCAGGTATGCAGTATTTCAGATAATTCCTTTCAAAGCTAAACTAAATGCATGCATTAACAATTTAAGCAGGTGTGTCATCTTATATCTCTTTATCTGTCAGAACCTTCGACTTTTATGCCAACACTGTACACATCAGCTAATAGGCCCTGGACTCGTGGCTTACACAGAATGCAAGCACAACATTGTAGAATTCTACTGACAACTCAAAAGAAAAAGAAGGACATAAAGGAGTTTAACAATAGAGCCAAGCAGTGGGACCAAACATAAGCGAGAGAAACCTTTGGAACTGGCATGATCTTCAAACCATCCATCATAGACGCAGGTCCAATGATGCATAAGCTTTGCCTCCTTACTTTAAATGTGGTGAAAGGCACTTTTTAATCCATGAATGACCACATAAACCTGCAGAACGTCTCATCCCTAATCGCAAATGAGCTAAATGATGCAGACGTGCTGTTGAATCTGCGAATTGCCTCAAGTGTTCTTAAAATGAGCTTAAACACACCTGCTGCAATACTGGTCTCACCTGGATGGACAAAACACACACACACACACACACACACACACAAATGCACAAATTGCCAAATCAAGCCACGTGTTGTTATTTCTTTTGGGCTGCAATAATAATAACAATAATAATACAAATGGAAAGTCTCTCTCTCCCCCTCTCTCCACCCATCCTCCCTTAATAGTTCCTATGTGTGTGTGTGTGTGTGCCATGGTTGTACTCCAGAGATTACACCACCCAGCTACATTCCTAGCTTCGTTATGTATTTTATCCGGCCTTGTGTCTTTCTCACCAGTGGGTCTCCCTCGGTGTCACTCTGGGACACCTGCTTGGACGAGGCTCCCTCCTTGGACGAGCTGTAGCCATCGTAGCCCACGTCCTCTGGCCTCAGCTGGAGAAGCGACTGGCCGTCCACCTGCAGCGAGGCAGCGTTCCATGGATATGTGTCGTTCACCCACTTGGACGGATCTTCCCAGGTGGCTCTTTTGCCGTACAGCTGCAGGCGTATCACAGAGGGAGAGGCGGTATGAACGATGCGGGAGAACGTACTCATGGTAATCACTAGTGCGGACTCCTAGCTCACCAGCTGTTGTTTTTCATACATAAAGATGCTGGCTTTCCTTAAATGATTGATGTAATGATTAATAAATAATAAAAATTATTTCAAGGTATTCTTGTGAATTTTGGGAAGGTTTCAGCAAACAATCGACCCACAAGTACGAAAATAATTTGGTGATGAATCAACCCATCATATAATAGTGTCACAGTCACAGGGGAAATTATTGTTCTTTCCTTTGAGTAGGTGTTTTTGACTATTAAACTCCTATTATTTTACTATTTAACATTTGAGACGTTTGATCTCAACTGAGTATTTTTACAATTTAGTAAGTAAAGGATTCAAATTTATTGCATTTAAAAAGTAACTCGTAACTATAGCTAATGGCTGTTTCAAATGATGTCTGCAAAGTCCAATATTTTCATCAGTGCATTAGATCTTTATTTAAATATGAAAATCAATTTTGATTCTAGAAGTGGGAAAATAGATTTTTTACCCAGAGGTTAGAAAAGATTAGAAAACTCTTTATTAATAAAAAAAACACTTCGTATACACAATAGATGTTAGACATAATGTCACGGTGTGGTTCACTTCCGGTCTTATTTTGTAGCTTTCTGCCACTCGTGTCCCCGGGTAACCTCACTTCCTGCCTTGTCCCGTCATCCCCTGTGATTGTCTGATCGTTTCCACCTGTGTCCAATCACCTGCACCTCCCTTGTGTATTTAAGCCGTGTGTGTCTCTTGTGTCACTTGTCGCGTCATTGTCTATCGTCCTGGATGGTCCTCGTTCCTGCCTGCCTTTTTTCCCCCTGGTACTTGTATGTGTTTTTCCCCGTTGGCGTTTTGCTTTGTTGCCTTTTCGACTATTAAAGTATTTTTGCTTTAAACTCTGCATTTGAGTCCTGCCTCCCACACATCCCCTGACACATAACAATACAAGAAAGTACATTACAACCAATAAATACAACCTCAAAATGCCATAAGGTTCACGAATAACATCAGAAAGATGATGAAATCTAAAAATCTGGTTTAGAACAGAGGTTTAAAATGTCATAGCAACATCCGCTGTTGATGGACACCCAGGACGTACCTGCAGCCCCTCCCTGACAGCCTCCAGCAGGTAGGGCACCAGGGAGTAGTTCCACAGGTCGGTGAACCAAACCCGAGAGCCTTCTACGTCCATGGGACAGGACAGGAAGAGACGGGGACCTGCCGGGGACCAAAGTGCACAGGATATCAGTGTTTGATGAATGGAAGGTGGGAAAGACACACAAAGCAGACTCTGACCTCTGAACTGGGTTCCCACACTCACTTACTGGCTCTGGTGTCGGCCAGAGAGACAGAGAGGATGTATGAGACTGACCTATGGTGACATCCGAGGAGCTGTGTGCCTCCAGGAAGCCATTGAGGTGCTGCCAGGTCTTGGGAATCCAGTCGATGATCTTAATCAGGTCATTACTGCGCATGCTCTTATCGATCTCCGTCTCTATCAGCTTTCGCCGCAGGAAACGGCCCAAGAAGCCTCTGACCGGCTCAGTGTGGTTGGTGCACAGAACCCACCTGTGATTGGACAGCAAAAAAAATGTAACCCACATTTCTCATCCAAACAGCTCAGTTTTTAGCTCATTCCACTTCACCATAAGATATTCACATCCAAAGATTCGGCCCATGAAGGGCTTTCCCCTAATTACTTCATATTTGCCGAATTATTGGCTAGTCAAACATGCCGGGAAAAGTTAAAGTTTCAAACTTCATCCTATTTTGAGTGGCATCATTAGAGTTCTGAGTCAGTGTAGCTTGTTGTTAAAGTGTGCGTCCCCAACCTGAAGTTGTGGTGTAGCTCAAGGTTAGGAGAGGAGGAGACTCCCTGGTTCATGGTCCCAATAACATAAGGGCTGGATGGAGACCAAAACAACAACACATCATTATTAACAGTCACAACCTACAAACTGAAAGTAGATTTGAAAAACATTGAATTATGTTCCGGTTTCTAAAAATGGGTTATTTCTGCCAGTTCTAATAGGTAATATTTAAAAAAAAAGAAATAGACGGTATTCCTGACCCACCATTTGTAGTACTTGCAGTTGAGGAAACCGTTGAATATGTCACTGAGGGAGCCGATGTGGTGGAGGTTGTCCAGGATCACCACAGTGGGGAGCTCTGTGTCTGTCTCCTCAGAGTTACACTGCTCTGCCAGGTTGGACAGATACTGCCGCAGGTCCTGGGCAAGAAAGCGTTAACAGGCAGGTTTTAAACTGGACACAATGACAATGTTTCTGACACGAACGAATGGTCCCTTTTTTCCATTCCAGATAAAGTGTAGTTACGAACGGCAACTTCTACCGCTTACGACTCTACTGTATAGTCACTCCTCCCTCTGGTCAAACTTTCACTTTAGATAAAGATTGTCTGCTACTGGGGGATGCATGTTAGATTGACAAGCCCGTCTCCTAAATGCTAGGATATTTTACTGCTGCTGAGGAAAATGTCAGGTTGTAGAGTCGGAGAAAGCCACCAAGTTTTACACCAACATTTCAAAGCTCACCAAAGTCACACAATGACACAAAGACAAGCTGATGCAGGCAGACTTGTGTAACACACAATACACAATGTAGCAGAAAATATGGATATATCTTTCTACATGCACACAATATTATTTTGGTGTAGGAAGGTATTCTGGGAGAAGTGGGGAAGTGTTAAACTGAAATGTAGGTAATGTTGATGAGGTGCACCTAGGGATGGGTATCAATTTTTTTGGGGGATTTTTTTCTTTCCAATGGCCTAAACCTACACTTAAAAAAAGAAGGAGCACAAACCGATTATTGACGACATTGAGGCCTTTTTTCTTTTATTAGACGAAGGGAATTTATTTTCTTCAAATTGAACAATGTATTAACTGGTTAAAGTCTACAATAAATATAAATACATGAAAAAACATTGGCTTCATACTTTATAACTTAGTACACATCCTCAGTTTACAACTTTGCAGAATGTGGGGGGGGGGCAGTCGGGGCTTTGCGTTTTGTTCAAGGAGGCGCCAATACGGCACCGGTTTTTGGTAACCAATCGTAGGTATACTGGGTGGGAGGGAAGACTTTAGATCTAAAGAAGAACCACTGGATTGTTTGAATTCCTCTTGCTACCTTGCTGGAATTCTGGTCCACGTTAAAGCTGGCCACGTTGTGCTCTGTCACCGGCCGTCCCATCTGGGAAATGATGTACTCGGCCAGCTTGGCAGCCAGAAAGGATTTGCCGGTGCCACTGGGTCCTGAGAGGATTATGCGACGATGCTCCATCAGCAGGTTGAGGTACCGTTGGACGACTGGCTTTGGGATCAGCGTGTCAAACACCAGGCTGTCTATACTGTTCTCCTTCACTCCTAGAATGATAATGGGAGGAAAGAATGATAGGAAGAAGGAGGGAATATGATGGATAGAAGGAAGAAAATAAAATTAAAACAATTTCAGTTGCATTTCTTTACTTTATTAAATACGGTCCAATTTTGCTTTCTCTACTCCAGAAGATTTTCCTTACGAATTCAAAGTTGGCTTCAACATCAGCTGTAATTCTAACATAGAAACTCTTGTTTCTTTCGCTGCTGTACCTTTGAGGTTGACCTTGATGACGTTGTTGTCGCCCACCAGGTAGCCGCAGGGCAGCAGCTCAGGCACTTCGGAGGCGTGGGAGCGAACCACCTCACCTATCCTGTAGGAGACGATGCTGTCTGAGCTGAGACCCAGGCTGGTATGGGGGTCCACCCGAAACACATACTCCTGCAGGGAGGGAGGGGTTAGAGCAGGGGTGTCAAACTCAATTTAGGTTCGGCCCAGATACTGCCCACTTTGATCTCAAGTGGGCCAGACCATTAAAAATCATAGGGGAGGGGGAGGGGGGGGGGGCGCAGATGGTCTGGCCGACGTGGGGGGGTTTGGCGCGTATGGCGCGCATGGTCCGGGGCGGACACAGTCATTTTCAAGCAGTTGCTGCAGCCTGGAGTAACGCCAGGGTCAAAAATGTCCAACACAGGGGTCCCCACACTTTTTCGGCTCGTGAGCTACTTTTCACTCAACTTTTCAATCGAAGCAGTAGCGGTAACCAAACAGAACAACAGCGCTGCATACTGGGAGCGCAAAACGATTCAATATAAAAAAACAAACACAACGAGCCTCTCGTCTGTCAGAAGCGATCGCGTGGTGACCTGACGTGATTGTTCTTTTTTCAATGGCAGGTGATCTACCGGCACTGCGTTGGTGAACGACCTGGTCCCCCTGGTCTAACGCATGCGCTCACTCACAGAGTGCGACCCCCAGTGGACTTTCTAGGAATAGCAGCTACTTTTATGTAATTGATGTCCTTCTGTGATTCTCACAACAGCAAAGTCATCCAGTGGGCCGCTCTGGACCCCCCCGGCGGGCCGGATTCGGGCCGCGGGCCTTGAGTTTGACAACTGTGAGTTAGAGGAACAGCGGGAAATAAAGAACTGCACTATCGATTATGCATATAGGCTGGGATTCTTTTTGACCAACTCACCTTTAAAGTGACAGCGGCTCTTCATATTCACTATTCTAATGCTTAAAAATGTATTATTAGGTAGGAATGAATGAATATTGGTCAATACAGCATTTGTATTAACATATGTTCACATGACAAGCCATCCTGAAAGAGGGATCCTGCCCTGTTTCTTTGCTTTCAGTTAGGTTTCTTTTGTTTTCTTTCTCCCCCTTAAAGGTTTTTTGGGCAGCTTTCTTCCTGTGCCGATGAGAGACATGGTCATATGTGTGCAGATTGTGAAGCAATCAGAGGCAAATGTGTAATTAGTGATTTTAAGCTAAAAAAATTGAATTGAATTTAAATCGGTTCATTCCTAACTATTTTTCCAATTGGTTTTATTGCAAAAAGCTTTTGCATTTTAAGTTAAATTGATTAATTGATTCCTATAAAATACCTTATTAGAAAAGGCACATGACAAATTATTTTTTACACGTCATTTGAAATGTCACACGATAAGACGTGAGGGATTCCAATGCCGTAAAATAATTGGATAACCGTTTCCTTGTGGCAGACATTTTGACAAACCACATGGAATACAACCATGCGTTAGTTTAACTAGTCATTTGTGTGCTTATGCCGCTACGACGAATCAAAGTGTGAACGGTGTGGATAATTAACTGACCATGAGCTTCAGAGCAATGGCCGCGTTTACCTTGAAGAGGCGTCTGATGACCCCATCCAGGACGTCCCACTTGGTTTTCCCACTCACACCTATGGACCCGATCAGGTGCGCTTGGTCATCTGTACCCTGCAGAGGTGCCAGATGAATAAAAGCAGCAGGAATAAGCACCAAGGAGACCAATATAGTGATTTTACTTGAAGAAAAAAGGGAATGTCCACTTCTCGCCAGTAACCTTGGTGGTATATGGCCCGCTGCAGATGGTGACCACTATTCGCACACTACGGCCCTCTTTGCGCAAATTGCCCTCGTAGCTTTCATCCAACAGAATATCTGAAAAATATTAGGAACAAACTCTCAGTCTGCCTGCTGGCAAATTCCAGCTGGAAATTGACAAACAGACTCCAAAGCAATAAAAGATAATAGATAATGAGTTTCTTTGTGTGGTAATTACTTTTACATCCAATCAATGATTCCACACAGAACTTTTTCTGGTGAGTGCACGGAATACTAATGACGACTGCGTGTCAGGAAATTACATAGACTGCAACCCTTTTTACCTTACGGACCGGTTTCATGTAAGAAAATATTTTGCGGACCGGTCTTGGAGGTGGCAAGATAATGGAAAAGTCCTTCAAAATGAAATTTGAGGGGTTTTAAATTTATTTTCACCTTATAAAACCACTCTGAGGCTGTTTTGGGCCTCTCCTCCCCTGACACTTCTGAGAAACCACTGCAGACTTCTCCAGCCGATGTACACAAACACTTGGACGCGCTGCAGACACTGAACCCACCTGACATGATGGTGTCAGTGATGTTGAGGTTGTTGAGCGACAGCCCTAGGGACTGGCGGGAGGAGGACGAGGACGTGCTGGAGGTCTCGGATGGCGGCCGGGCCGCCTTGACGGGCGTGGCCGTTGGCGTGGCGTTGCCGCTGGACTTGAGGCGATCGTTCTCCGCCTTCAGTGCCTCTATCTCGTTCTTTTTGTCGATAAACAAATGAAAATGTTTGTTTTAGAGAGTTGTAATGTTTAAGTCAAACCCAATGTCCCCTTACAAATTAAATTATTCTAAGATAAACATAGGAAGGAGAGAAGAACTTCCAAACATCAAAGTATGGGTCAGAATATACAAAGTTTAAAAAAGTTAACAAAATAAAATACACATGCACCAAAACATTTATTTTTTCCTTTTATTGTCTTCCGTATTTTATGGATCATCTGAAATCTTCCAAATAAAAACGTTAAATCTGGGATCAAGTAGCAACGACGTCATATTGGTAACCAGCCATTAGGGATTTTGAAGTTATAATTGTTAATCCAAAATGTTTACTCACACAACTTTAGCACTGTACTACTGTCATGTGTAATATTTGCATGTGTAATGATAGCTGATGCATAAGTACAGGGACAAACACTGACTTATCTGCATCCTACAGCCTGAAAATATACAGTAAGTTGGCTGAAATGGGGTTTGATGTTACCGTCAAAGTGCTCGGCGACCAGAGAGGCCAAAACCAAAAATATTTTTAAAGAAAAGGTATATTCTGGTCACACAAAAAAAGATTTCTTCATTAATCTAAGTTAAGTTGTGTGAAGCCACTGTGTCTGCAGACACTCAGCGTTCCCATTATACCCAATGCCTCCTGAGCACCAAACTCACAAACTGAAAAGTGCAATATTGATAAATACTAATGAATACCTAAAGGTAAAGGTACTACTTGACCCTCCGAATCCCAAGCAGATTCAAAACGGGTTTTTATTTAACGGAGTCAAAGACACATATTCTTGCATTCAGGATTGTCACTGTTCTTATATCGAATGAGTATTATTGGAGTTATGGGGCCTCATAAAGCTTTTTATGGTCTTCAAGGCTCTCTTTGTACTGAAGGGTAAATCTCAGATTAGGAGCCTTACATGATCCCCAGATCTGAGAGGAGACTACAGGCTTCTACAGACGATCTACAAAGGGACACTTTATGGCGTTTATGGCGATAACCTTTCAACATGGGCTCCTTTTGAGAATATGAAATTATGCAGCACCTCTGAACAGTGTGCTTGAAGTGACGAGTGCCGTCAAGTAGTAACACTTCAGTGGCAATGATATCACAGATTAAATATGCGTTCTCACGGGGGGAAAAACGTATCTGATCTTTTTCTTCACAGGGATTTTAAACAGTTCTTTTACTCCTCTCTGAGGCGTGTTTACCGTGACACCTCATTTATTAATTGCTGATTTTGAAAGTTTCAGCATGTCAGATTGCGGCGATTTGTGATGGAAAGCCACAGTATCCAATAGATTTCCTAATATGCTCAGATTTTTGGGACGTAGTTACGTGGGGCTGAGCATCTCATCAGATGTCTCTATCTGCATTTAGAGAACAGAATGACGGCCAATTGGATATTTTGATTTGAGTCACCCAGCACAGAATTGAGCTGCTATCTGGCCCGGCGGGTTCTCACCTGCATGCGATTCATGGCCTCTCGTATCTGGTCGAGGTGGTGTGCCGAGCTGAGCGCCTCCAGGCGGATGTCTGTCAGCTTGAGCTCCTTCTCCCTCAGCTCGTTCTTCAACAGGAGGATGGTTTCTGCCTCGGCTTCGGTGCATTCGCAGAGCCTGTAACCAGGGTTACACAGAGGGAGGGGGGAGGGCGGGGGGGGGGGGGGGGGGGGGGAGGGGGGGGCGGTCACCTCGAGGGTTATACCAAACACACACACACATAATCTAGAGAGAAGAAATACACACTTTAAAAGGATATTTAGAGGGAAGCTGAAGTCAACGACAGAGAGATAGGACGCCTGGGAAAGCGTGTCCCACCCATTGATGACACCCCCCCCCCCAATAACCAGCACACTGAGCTGCTAAAATGTTGCAGTTACACTGAAGAGGCTCTTCAGCTAGTGGAGAGGTAGTTGTCCCATCATGATGATTCAGCCACTCTCAAAAACACCAGGCAGAGCTCTAATATGCAGTTAGATGCAATTTGCTCAAAATCAAAAACAAAACAAGGATGAGACACATTTGAGTCGTTTACTGCGTGAGAGTTCTGCTGACACCAGCGCATGCTTTGACCCACATCAATCTTCTTAAAAAGGAAGTAATCTCACCAGCTGCCACGGGTGCACAGTACCTACATGCTGTAAAAAAGCCTCTTGAAGCAGAGCCAGTATGCTCTGGTTGGAGCTCATCTTTCTCACCCTTTATTCAGCCTACGGACAAGTCAGTGAGACCTTGACCTGGCACATGCCGAGGTGCTTACGGCACCTGAGATGCAGGGGAAAAGTCACACCAATAAAACCCCAGCGCACGCACACCCACTCCCCGGGAGCCCACTGCCCAGCTCCTATTACCGGGACCGGTGCTTGTAGACCACATGACCGTTTGGCCTTTTCTTTGGCGTCCAAATGGGGGAGGACCTGCTTTCGCAAACACACTTACTACAGTGGGAGGGGTGTTCAAGAAAAGGATGAAGAGAGAGGCCAGAAAAGATGGTGAGGATTCACAAACATTTGTGAGAAAGAAAAGAAACAAAGAAATAACAATGAAAATCGTTTGCATTTGGTTTGCAAGAGAGGCCCGTGGGGAGTAAACTAACTGGTACGTCGTGTACGTGTGGTCAAACCTGAAGTACGCGTCCAAGACTCACTCGGTGGGTGGAGGGCCGAGGATGCAGCGTGCCGATGCTGCCTTGCCTGTTGTTGTGCTGCAGTTTGGGCGAGGATGGCAGCGAGTCGATCGTCTCCTCCATCTCGTCATGCGCCGACTGCGATTTGGTTTTCTTCTTGCTGAACGCGTGCTTGAAAGAGCTGCGCAACTGCACATAACACAAGGGCATAACACAAAGATGCCAGCATCAGTGCCCCGAGCGTTGAGGTGCCTGTCACATGACATGTTGCCATCAGGAGGTCACTCTGCGTTGTTTCCCAAGCAGTGGGCGCTGTCTGGTTTTAGGTAAAGAAGGAGGCAAAAAGCAAGACCGTAAGTAGAGATGGAATGAGAGTGGAGGGGACCGGGCTTTGAAATAAGCCAACACATTAGTGCTGAACAGGCAATCCAAACGAACAAGGGAGCAGAAAAACGAGGAGGGAGGATTTTAGGGGTCGGGGGGCTTGCTGTATCCATGCCAACGCTTCCAGAGAAGGGATAGAAGAAAGTTTCTCTGAGGGGGGGAAGGAGAAACAAACAGGGGGGACGAGGAGAATACGGGGGGAACAATCCCAACACACAAACACACACGGATGAGACGCTGGAAGCCACTGACCTGAGCCGGGATAGAATCGGCCACCTGGAGATGCAGAACACACCCAAAGTTAAGCAAACGCACACATGCCCCCCTCCACCCTCTGTTGCTTGATAAGAGATAAACACTGTTAGTGCATCTCATTTACAGAGCACATAAAGACCGGTAGATCCACTCGATTCAAGTAACTAAACATTTTGCAAAAAGGCCCAGTACATTCTGGGGAAGGCTCCGGCTCCCCTGTTACCCTTGTAGGATGAGATAAAAGGAAGGGCTTGGATGGATTTTGAAACTGATGTTTACACACATTGCTGGGATGGGACATTGCTTGCCACGTTCCACAAGGATGCTCGTATCCGGCTTGAAGCTAGTTGAGCAGGTCAGCAGCTTGTCCCCCGCCCTAATGAGCGTCCCCCTCCCAATTCGTTATTGTCGTTATCGTTATTATCTCTAAGCATGATCTAGAGAGGCAGTATTAATGCAAATGAATAATGAATTTCTGCTGAACTAAGGGGTTGAGATTTGTATTCATGTCATTAGATTGTTTTTAATGTTTAGTGGGGGGGGGGTCTCACCTAACGTGACAAACTTGGGTGTCACTGTCAGTGGTGGACTAACATTTAATTTCAAAGGGCAGGCGTTTTGCAGTAACACTGACACTGCGCTCCTTGGCAGAGACGGAACTTGTCCTACGTCATCCGTCTGACTGAGAGGGGGGGGGGGGGGGGGGGGCTGCAGAAAATAACAGATTTTCAGCCAGGGACACAGGGCCGCTATTACACAGTGAAGCAAACAACAGGAAAATCTGAAAGAGGGAGCGAGAGAGAGAAAGCGAGAGAGAGGGGGAGGAGACGGCTTTCTGGTTGTGGATGGGCAACAACATTTTTTTTTTGCCTTGATCTATTTGTGAACATAGTCGTCTGTAGAAAGAGACACAGGAGACACAATGCAAACCCTATGGCAGGTGAAAGTACAACCTACACCGTAGCAAACTGGGCCATCAAAGAAACAAAGACAGAAAATAAAGTGAACTTTGTGTCTTTGAGTCATTTTGAACCATCAAACCTGACAAAGTCCCAGTGAGTACCTGGGCGATTAAGAGCCCTTCTCCAAAGTACTGTGGGAAGAGAAAGTGTTTCTCGGTTGGGCTCACTTGACTCAGATACTCTTCTCTAACCTCGGGGCAGCTATCGCTGTGGTTTAAAGCTGAACTTCAGTAACCATGGCGCCAGCGGCCTCTTAAACCAACCTAAGCTGCATGTTGTCCCCGTCTGTGAAGTTCAAAGTGCGTCTTGAACAATAATTGCAAGGCGGTTTGACTCTGCTCGACCCCTTCTGTTAGCCCTCACCACGGGATGGTACATCGGCCACTCAGAGGACATTATCCGGACACTGTAACCTAGCACAGGGCATGTGTGGGTAGAGTGCAGTCAAGCACAAGGTTTTAGGGTGTAGCATTTCACAGAAGAGAATCTGCCTCTAAAATGGGGGGGGGGGGGGCGCTCCAAGCGCACAAGCACCGATTGGTTTGGATTGGAAGAACAATTCTTTACTAACTGACGCACTTTGGTAGCTGCGCAAAATCCCTTTTCACAAGGAATAAAGGGAGAAAGAAGACAATATCGGAGTGGTGAAGCACTGTATTGCCTTTCGGGACAGAAATGATGAAACTACTTTTGAGTCACATTCAAACTCAGTCATCCTTAGCTCATTGTGAGGTCGAGCTATGTGCAGGTACATCCAGACTTTTAGCTTATTTTGAAGCTCTGTCAATGGAAGACATTTCATCTTTTAATGCAGACTTCAAAAGTATATACAGTATAGATTAACTGCCACTGAATAATTCATATGGGTTTGAATGAGTCTTTCACTATTTAAAACACCTCACTAAAAAACTAAATGTAATATATATATAATTTTGTATAGAAAAGCAGTTGAGCCTGATATTTTACTCCTTTGTTCTTGCTGACAGTCTTTGCGCGTAACCTTTTTTGGCCCCTTCTGTCTCTCAATGACAACCCTTTTTTCACCTACCCAGCTCTTCTTCTTCTTCTTCTTGTCCTCGGCGTCCTTGCCCATGCTGCCCATGCTGGAGTGACTGGCTGCACTGTTGATACTGGACATGCTCTCTGACGAGTGCTGCCGTCGCATGCGCAGGTCTGCAAATGACGGGCAAAATCTCCTTAGTGTTCTGAAACGACTGGTTACAATGCACTGCTGCATGGACCAAAACCTTCTTCATTTGTCTCTTTCAATCCATCGTGTTATAGTGCCGGTTGAGGAGGCGACATTGATGGTGCTATCAGCTGAAGCTGAAGAAATGGACCATGAATTGATAAGAAACAGTTTTTAACCATAACTTAACACAACATTGTTGTTCAGCTATGGTCGGCCTGTCAAAGATAATCCGCTATTAAGGGTTTTGATCCTTGAACTCTTCAGAAAATTGCTTAACACAACACATTCAGGACTAATAAAGACTTTCGCAAAATGACATACACAACACAGCAGTGTTAATTTTGGCAGCTATTTTTGATTTAGTCTTAGTCTTTAGACGAAAAATGCATATTAGTTTTAGTCCCATTTAGTCATTTTAATCCTTTTTAGTTTTAATTTAATTTAGTTCTAAAATGTAATTAGTTTTAGTCTAGTTTTGGTCCCATTTAATAGCCATATTAAACTAATTTTCTTCCCTTCTCAGGCCCAGGGACCCCCTGTGTTGTGTCTACAACTGCACCAATAGTACTTGGTTGTCCATTAGATGTCCCTCCTAGGACAGGTCTATAGCAGGTCGGCAAACTTTTTTACTCGCGGGCCAACAAGTGTTTGTGTGAGCTGATATAAATGGCATGTGAAAAATCATTATATGAAGGGATTTGGATTTTAACAAATAGCAAAGCATTTATTTGCAATGCAATTTAACAAATTGGCAAAGGTGTAACAACTTCATGAGGACCAGGGATCTAAACCCAACACTTTGTTGTCTTTGTCTCTTTACTTGCAATGCTTTTGAAACTTCATGGTCCTTTATTGTTTCCACTGTCCCAACAAAAGAGACCTTAACGTCCTACAATCGGTGCAGTACATTATTTTCTTGGCTTCAGAACCTGCAATGAGTTTATTACGTTAGACGTGTTTGGAGAAGCCTGTAACGCAGCGTCTCATCCAGCCGAGGAAACGCTGCCTGCCGTCGCCAGAGAACAGAGCAGAAAGGTCCGACAGTCTTTAAACGGGTCTTCATGTTTCTCTGAAGCAGCGCGGCTTCAGCCTGCTAACAGTCAGCTAAACCGAGACAGCTGAGCTAAACTAACGAAGCCACATTCAAACTCGCCGAAGCGTAAAATAGTCGTCGCGGTCCGTAGTCGGTGCACAAGAACCACCGCTGCACCAATGCGAGAGCGCGTTCTGGGTTCGTGGGTGACGTCATCATGGCGCGTTAATAACCGCCTTACTTTGCCGGTCTGTTGTCTGTCAGCTGCGTGCGAATTTAGGGGGGAAAAGTATCGTGACTTCGTCAACCACCAACATGTTCGTCTCGTCTCGTTAACAAAAGTTAGAATAGATTTAGTCATAGTTTTTATTTTTTAAGATCGTTTTCGTCTCGTCTTAGTCATGGAAAAAAGGTTCGTTAACGAAAATGTTTCGTCATAGTTTTCGTCGACGAAATGAACACTGCAACACAGAACGCTTCATTTATAAACGGCTGAATTCCTCCTGCGCCAATCAAGCCCAAAATAGAAAACGCATTGACTTGTGGATCATTAAGGCAGCCATCGTCGTGGTTCCCTCGTTACCTTTGTGCAGGTGGTCGGGGCCGTTGAGCGCCACCTGGATGGCGGTCTGTGCGTCGGTGTTCTGGGTCTTCAGCGTCTCTATCGTTTCCCTCAACTCAACCAACTCAGACTCCTGGAGAGCGACACGGTTGTTAAAACAAAGGATGACGCACAAAAAGCTGTTCAACCAAAATGTGTGGAGCCTCATCACTGAAAATACATTCTTAAACCTGGCATTGGAATATAAATGAGGAGGATAGGAGTCTCCCTGTGGATTTTCCCAAACCCCGCACCACCTGCTTATTGTATAAAAAAACAACATGAAACCCCTTTGAACCCACACAATCAGATAGAAGGAGTCACCGATTCTGCCATTCCTGAAAAAAATACCCACTACGGGCTGCACATTTCTGCTTTAATTAAAAGTTGTGACGGCCTGGTTTAACAAAGACATCCCACCATATCCCAGTGTGCTTTCATTTATAGAGGATTAAAAACAGCTGCCAGAACTCTCAGCATTCTGTGTGTGTAATATGTTATGTGTGTGTGTGTGTGAACAGAAGAAAGATTCATAACTTCTGGTCGGGATTTATGTTTGATCATATTACCGCTGCTGCTGCTGCTGTATTATCAGTGTTTCGTTCTCTTTTGAAACCTCCCGTTAGTTTTAAATGTTTTTTTTGGGCCTCAGATTGAGGGAATATGCTAAACCCTTACATGTTGGTCCAAAATTGTAGAAAAGAAGAAAAAAAACTACTTCAGACAAGCAAGTCAAACACCTCGGATAAGGTTAGAAGTAATGTTTGCGAGAAATTCAGGCAACAACTAAAACCTATAAGAGAAAAGAATTGCCGTTTCTAATCATCTCCTCTGTGAAATCCTTTCTCCTTCCGTTCACGCAGTATATCTGAAGCTCAGGACCGAGCTCTTGCACCTTTTGTTCGGCCGTCATGGTGAGGCTCTGCAGGCGGCAGGTCATGTTACTCAGACTCTTCTCGAAGGCTGCCACCAGATGAGCCTGCAGACACACAGACACACATTTGAACAAATGCAAACTATAAGTAGCTTCAACTATCAACTGTCTTTCGAATATGGAAATGAAAGGGATCAAAACCAAGGAATTTGGACTGAAATGAGCTTTGGCAAAAAGTACAAAATATTTGAACATAACCGTTCATATAGAACATTGAAGAAAAAGTTGGTGCAGAGACTGAATCAGTTGGTCTGCTGGCTGGCGACGTGCGCTTTACAGTGAGATTTACTGGAGCCCAACTAGCTGCAAACGAGACATGGCGTGCAGGGTCCCGCTACCGTAAGGTGAACAGCTGAGACATGTAGATTAAAACAAACAACAGTGAAAACCCATTGAGTCCCTTTCACATTTCCAGGGCAAGTTCCCAGGGAGCATATTCAGACGGGAAGCAATTCATTTAACTTCTCAGTTTGTTGTGAATTAACCATCATTTCTGGATAAATAATACCAAGAAAAAGTGAAATAAAATAATGTTTCCCACAGAGGCACACAGTTCAATGAGCCCCCACCCGACTACATCAGCCGCCCCAACATGCACAGCGACACACTGGGAGATGACAAATGTATCGTGGGCATCACACAGTTTGTGTATGTGTTCGTCTGAACGTGTAGCTGGATTTGCTTGAGCTTTTGCATGTGTGAGTATATGCTTGCGTGTGAATCTCTGGTGAAGCCTTATGTTCACGGCTGTGCAAATAGGAGGGATGGGCGCGAATTCTGCCAGCTCATCCTCCTGTCCTTAGCTAGAGACTCAGACACCTGTCAGGCCTGGTGTGGCACATGGAGGTGGGCAGCGAGCCCAGACAGATCAGACAGTCTCTGCTTAACACACACACACACACACACCCTGTGCTGCCTCCTCCACTCTGCGTCCCTAGCTGAATCAGCAAAGGTCTTGACCTTTTGAAATGCCACCTGCTCCAACTCATCCCTGAACTCCACATCTCCTTCCAACTCCACCTGAGAACCCCCCACGCCTCCATCCCAAATGTCAGCCACGAAAGGAGGCGCTGATCACAACTCTGACGCGTCCCGTGGCTGAACCTTCTGTTCTGCTCCAGGGCCCGGCCCCGCTTGACCAGCTTGCGGCCCGGGCCCTGTGTTTGAAGACGGCCATCCCGATCCTGGCGTCTAACCAGCAAACTGGATGAAGACCACTCTGTGGTGCATCACAAGGGCACCGTACAGAGTCAGAAGACAGCTGGCACACCGTCACGACTACGGTTGATCTTCTGTAAACTCTAAGGCAAAGTTGAAAGCAAATGAACGCATCCCGTCCATGGCTGAAAGGCAGTACAATACTTTACCCGTTTGGCAGCATTTGCTCTTCTTTATCCCTTTGCAGGTTGTTGGTTTTTACTAATTTTGCTGCATTTTAATCAAATAATACCAAAACAAACACAAATTATTTTAAAAGGACTTGTTTAAAGGGTTCTCAATCCAACGTGATCACGGTGGAACTAATGAGATTAGTAATAATGTTTTCAATATGAGAGTCGGTATTTGGTTTAACCACCACCCTTAAATCCCATTCAAATCCAAATTCAGGTTTCTGCAAAAGAGGAACACACAAAATGATGATAATTAAAATCAAGCATGCAGTGGCGCAGCACACAAAGGAAGGCCAAGATCAAATGACCTCAATCATGGAATAATGATCTCTATGACTTTCTGATGAAAAGACAGGAGAGGAAATGAAAACACGTTCAGCCAATGCACAACGACACAATGTAGACAACTGTTCTGCAAATATTTTCCCTGCAAAAAAACCCAAACCTCCCCTTAAAAAATAACTTTTTTCCAACATCATTTTTTAAGGCTAAACTCCTACGGTTGAGCTTCTCTTCCAATTGAGAAAATACATTCAGAGCACTTGATGTACTTTCCAAAATCAAAAGTTAAAAAATGCATTAATTTGATGTCACAACCAAATTGGAAAGACATTATATTTTACACTCAATAATATATTAAAAGATTAATAGCAAAGAAATTAGAGCTAAAAGGATGCAGGATACGATCAAAATACATAACAGTTATTTCTTTTTCAACATTTTGGAAATGCCAGTATTTCTCTGTATAGACATAATAGGTAAACAAAAAACATTTCCATGTATTGGGACATGTGTTCCAGGAATGTACACGATTAAGTGGCATGTCTTATAAATGGCCCAGTCAGTGGACCGCTGGTCGGGTCACACTGCCCACTGGGGTGAGTAGATGCAACCCAGTCACAGCAAAACGTGTAATAGCTACGTTGTGGAACGTGGTATTCTCACGCTTTTGGGGAGAAAGCGTGAGAATACCACGTTCCACAACGTTTCGTTTGCAACTACGTCACGTGACTATCAACTTTCACTCAGCTAAAAATAGAAAATGGCGGACTATCGGTCTATTATCTGTGAAAAACACAATATTTTAAGAAAGCATTTCGATGGCATTTCTTGCGAGAAGTATGCGTTATATTTTCATAATCTTCTATCAGAGAATGTAGAAGACCTTCCGTTTATTAGTTTCTAGTGACGTAGTTGCAAGGCAATGTAAATGAATGGGCCAAAATAAAACATAGTATTGTCACAATTTTGGGGAGAAAGCGTCAGAATACCACGTTCCACAACGTAGCTATTACACGTTTTGCTGTGAGACCGGGGCGAGTAGATGAGACCCGAACCGGGAGGAGGATCCATGGTTTGTACAGTGAATTAGTTCCCATTCTACAGGATCCCAGGTCCCTGAACCTCATGTTCAATACCCAACTTGATCCAAGAGGTAATGGAACCAGCAAAGTGCAACGAGCTTTTCTGACCGCAAAGCATTACCAAGTGGAACCCCAGCTCTGGGGTCGCAGGTCATTCTAATGATAGCAATCAAGCGATGGGAACATCAGCAGCAATGGCCATGAACATTCGTCATTATAGTTCAGAAAGTGAAAACAACGAAAGTCAACTTTATTAACGCCCAATGCAACCAAGCTGCAAAGATGAGTCGATTAGTCACGCCAATCAGCAAGAGAGGAGTGACAAACAACTTAGATGTATTCGACCAACTTCCCAACTTAAGGAGGACCGATTATGTGTGTCCCGGCCAGGCGGAGGGGAGAGGGCTATTGGCTAACGTTAAAGAACTGAGCTTTGTTTAACTTGATCATGGCAACGAGCTGTAAAATCAGTGACAGTCACCTGTAAACAGACTTTGATATCTAAAATCAGTGGAGTTCGCTTTCAGGGTACTGAACGATAAATGATTTCACTGACACTATGTTGCAAATTCAAAGCTTCATCCATCAAGGTATTTCACACAACACGAACAAACTAGTAAGTGTTCTGACTGTCCCTCCATAACTCTTTCATGAAATCATGTCTCCCTTTTCCATTCGGCAACTTTTCCTGCTGTTTAGCCCCTTAGTTTCAGCTCGGCACAACTTTGAGATCAAAGCTTCAGACCGAAGCGAAGAACCCGTCTGCCTCCACGCTTGATCAGGCACTTGGCATTGAGGGTGGCACAAAGACAGCTCCGTCTGGGGGTTGGAGGTCTCTGCATCTCCCTCTTATTTCACCCAAGCCTGACGTCTAGATTCAGTTATCCTCGTTCTCTCTCCCGCGCCTGTCGATCTCCATTTGATTCCTCCTGCTCATTTGAATCGTGGAGAGGCTCCGGTCCTCGCTTGAAGCCCCTGCCGGCTGAGACAAAGGCAAGGAGGCCATGCGAGCTGTGCCGCAGGTTCACAAACACGCACAAGACACATTGCGTCTTCAGGACAAGCGCACCAAAACGCACGCTTAAAAATCAAAAGCCTGAATACAGGCACCTGGCTTCAAACAGAGGGATAAGGAATTGGTCGGCGTCTTCATATCACTCACAGAGCTTCGATAGGCAACGCTCCCCACAAAAGCTCTCCCAACGGAAGTTTGTTATGCAAATGAGAACCGGCTGTTCTGACGAAGTAAACAAACTCACATTGGTAGATAGCTGAGACGTCAGGGTCGCCACCTTCTCCTGAGAGGCGTCGAGCTCCCGACGAAGCTTTCTGATTTGCTGTTTGAGGGAGAGAGAAGACGTAGTTAATGCTCCGGGTAAACATAAACACAGATAGACCTTGAACAACTCCCGTGCTGATAACTTTGATGTAAGAAATGTGTAGTAGTGGTAATACTGTGCAAAGAAGCACAAGTGTGGACACAAGGTGTGGGGGATTACCGTGGAATTTTGGACTGTTTGGCCCTTGATTGAAAAGAGAAGAGTAAATATTAACACTATGTTGCATGCCTTCATCAAATAGCATGTACTGCTGTGGCTGCAGAGACAGGGGTCATCACAAGCCACAGCACTGGTCTTCTCATGGTACCACTTTCAGCAGAGCAACCGGAGAAAGGAGTATGTACTACTTACTACCTACATAATAAGTGCCAGACGTGTCAGTTTACCAAAGTGGACAACACAAGTACATCAAAGTATTGGTTTATTTCTAAGTTCCAAATTGTTGTCAATATCAGACATTTTGGATTTCACTGTATTTCTGTTTCTTGGATATTATTCATATGACAAACACATGTTTTTCTCTCCTTTTATGATTTATTATTGTGCCAACATGACAGCAAACGTCTCAAGTAAATGTTCATCAATTAGGGTCCAAATGTGGAAAACATTGAATGTTGATGTGAAGGAAGGAAAAAGAACCAGGATGGGGTGTCTGACGTCATTATTGGCGGTTTGTACCGCATGAGCTCTCCTCCAATGCTAAACTCCACCCATCTGGCAGGGTTCAAACAAGTGAGTGGATTTGCCAATACTACCAATACAAGAAGCAGAAGCTCAAATAAAGACACAGAACAGGTTTTCTCACTGAAGTCAGAAAATCAAACCATAAATCTAAAAAAAGAAATTGGTTGAACAAAGGCCAAAGGGCAGAGCATGCACTACTTACTACACTACACTACTAATATGCAAAGGCTCTTAGTTAGATTGGGTTGCAGAATATTACACATCCTTACCTCTGAGTGTGCTTTCTCCTCCGTCTGTAAGGAAAAATATGGAAAAGATTATTGGCCCGGTGTGCTCTGTTCAATCAAGCCTCTTTAGGCGAGTATGCTGCATGAGAAGCATTGTAATGTCAACAAAAAAATAAAAGAAATGGCCAAAACATAGCAGATGAGAATCGAACCGAACATCATATAAAATTAGATAAATAACCGAAAATAATCCCCCTCATCCTGTCAGGCCTTTCCTCTGCAATCTTTGAGTGTAATTGGAAACAAGTGGGGGTGTGTGGTTATTGATTTGCTCTCCTGAAAGCTAATCTGTTGACTGGAAAGCTGCCGGCGCAATTAAAGCCAGAGAGCCAGTACTTGTCCGAAATCTTATCGGCCAAAGTTAAAAATGTGCAGCTTGCTAAAGAATCCGATGATTCTTTTGCATCTATAATTCAAGTTTAAAAGGACAGACAGTGCAACTGCATTTACCAATTTTATGGCCGTTTGGGGGCAGCGAAGCGAGTATTAAACACTGGCATATCGTATAAAGGCTTTATGACAAACTCGCAGACCCTAAGCAACAGTAGCCTTCATTTGGAGATGTTTGTCTGGCAACCTGGCAAATAAAAGTAAAATATTTCAGCTCCACCTCTTTATAGGCCACATACTTTAATGTTCCTTGCTAGGCCAACAGATTTAATTACAGGTTGGAAAACCAAATCAAAGTGGCTAAAACTCAACAGTGGTGAGTGGAACTGTCAGCCCCTCTGCGTTTGTCACTACAAACCTTAAAAAGTACTTAATGAGCCAGATTTCTTAATGTTTTAAAAGTATTGTCTGAAATAAATTGCAATTCTTTCAAGATGTCCATTCATCTGTACTGTAGAATATTATAAACAAACTGAAAAAACGTTTTTTAAAAGAATGTAATCAATAAAGAAATTGCCATTGAAAAACATTGGCGGAGAGAATTCAAAATTTGAGTTACGTTGAACGCATCTTCCAGTGTAATACCACATTGCACCACCATATTCAGGAAAAGACACTCATAATAACTAGTTTCATGAATGCATCATAAGACACCATGTGTGTTGACACAGCCTACTGGACCAACTCTTGTCTTCGAGAAGAACTCTGTTTTAGGCCTTTTCGATCAAAGATGTCCTTTGTTCTTCTGGAGTTTCAAAATTGAAATCTCCAATGGATGTGCCATTTTATTCCATCCCTAATCCTAAAGAACCATGCCACGTTAAACTTGAATCCCCTAACTTCCCCGTTCTGATGCTCGGTTAGAACTTCAGGTTGTCTTGACCACGTGTACATGCCCACGTAAATGCATTGAGTTGCCGCCATGTAATTGGTTGATTAGCAAATTGTGTTAACAAGCAATTGAACAGGGTACCTAATGAAGTGGCCGGTGAGTGTATACTAGGGCACTAGACGAAGGGACCACTATCCTTTTTTAAACACTCACATCCAACTATACTAACCTTCTATCAATCTGGTTCATCAGCAATAAACTTTACTTTCTGTGAAGATGGCAATGAGTGAGAGCCAATCAGAGGATGGGAGGTTTGGGATTTTTTTTGGCTATCAAAGGGCTCTTTAACATTTAAAAAATACGCCCTTGCACTAGTATGGCTAGTGTTTGAGCCACCATTGGTTCAGCCACTGCAGGCCCCTTAAGGTGGCCTATTTCTAGTTTACATAATGTTTTACTAGTTTTAGATGTACAATACTTGACTTTAATGCTAGCTCTAAAAGCCCAACATTTAGGAGTAGAGGTTGGTAGGCAACTTACCGCAGAGTACAATGAAGACGTGCTGGAGACCAGAGACAATGAAGAGCCATGGACTGTAATCACAAATGTGGAGAAATGAGTGTCAACATTCTTTAAAAGAGGAGTTAAAGTATGATTACAAGAGCATACAATATTCTAATCTTTTATATTGAAATGGACCAGATGGCAGTTCTGTAATTTCTTAATTATTTATTATAATCAACTCAATAGCACTTGATGGTAAGTCATTCAGATGATAGAATCAGTTAATAGTTCTACTAAAAATCTTGATTTAGCCCTGAAAACTGATATCTATAAGAATGCAACCACGGCCTCTTATAGTCACCACTACACTCACAAAAAGATCAAAACATGGCAAGACATGAGCCAACAGCTCAAATCTGGTATCTAAGTCCTTGGTGACTGACACAACCTTTCCTTGCTGAATGTGGCCCTTATATGATCTATAATGGCTTCCTAGCAGCCACCTTTTAGCACACGGTGCGTCTACAGCGTCTGGTTGAAGAGTTCACCCCACCTTCGTCGGTGCTGTCCCTGAAGGAGCCTGAGCGGCTGATTCCGCGTCCAGGGCGGTCCTCTAGGGAGGTTGCGCTGCCACCCAGCGGATGGCCCTCCCCGTATAGGTCAAAGGAGTCCTGGGCAGGGATGCTGTTGGAGCGACTCATGTTGGTGCTGCCTGGTTGCAGGTTGTACTGGCAGATGTTAGTTGGGCTCACTGCACGCAGGGGAAAAACACCAGGAAAATGTTCTAAGGAACTGTTTCGATTACATTGTATTTTCCCTCCGTTACATTTTTGCAGGTGTTAAAAGCATCAATGATCAATCATTTATGCAGGACGATAGTATAAACAGGTGGATATGATCAACAATCATTTCAGTGTGACAGAATCTGTTTCCAAGCCAATAACTCCTAAACGGCCCCTTACGAGAGGAACGAGAACGAGACTGCATGAACTAGTGTAAAAGGCAGGCATATTATGATAGAGTAATAGTGACATTCCCTGCAGAATGACTGATACAGAGTGAACTGCACATGTCACTTAAAGGGTCTGTGTGGGCTGCAGACCTGGACCGATTGGTCCGAAAGTAGACGTTCGCTCCCCATGAACATGCAATAACAGATCTATTTTCTATGTGCGACAATGAGTTTGGTCCTACAGACTTACACAGGTTGGAGTAGTGGTATTTTCCAGTGTTTGTGCAGGACGCTCCGGGAGGAGACAGTGGGGACTGGCTGCCTGTGTCCTGAAGCCCTCCTGTTGAATGGGACCTCAGCCACTCCATCCCTTCCTCATGGGACGTCTGCCTGGAGGACGGAGGGTACCTGAATCCCACAAAGACACAGTAGGTAGAAACACAGATAGAAAGTCCCAGTAGGATATTTCTGTGGTGATGAAATGAGTGCGGAGCTACATAATAAAAGTGTGTGAGCAGATGGCCAAAAAAAACCACAACCATGCAGCCACACACGCAGATACTCGCCTGCAAGTCTCTCCTCACATTCAGTCGTTTATACACACAGTGCGCAACGTTGCCAAAACACACTCACACTGCCGTTCATCTCCTCCCTCCCCAGCTCCAGAGTGGCTCAGCAACACAAGACCCCCTTATCGCCGCCTTAACAATCGGCCATATTTAATCCTTTAAGGATAATAATTGAGTTTGCACTCATCCCTTTACAGAGCCGCCTTCCGTCCGACGCCCCCATTACTACGCTTGTCACATCTGACCCTGCTCCAGTGCCCCACGCCTGTGCTTCCTATTGCTCCCTGGCGGGGATTGGCTTTCTGAGCATACATCTGGTTTCGTTGCTCGTTGGTGTGGAAATAGAGCGGACTGGAATATCCAAGGGTTAGTGTACTTATAAAACGCTCCATGAGCAGGACTAAACATGCTCATTGATTTGGCTAAAGTGGGCAATTACTTGCAGGTCATTTAAGATCAGGCAGAAAAACGCTGCCTGGTTCAAGATGAGAACAGAGTAGTGAAAAAAAAACGTTGAGAAGAAAACACTGCAGTCTATACTGAACATCAGGCATAAATTTAAGTGTAAGACGAGATGCTCTTAAGCCAAAATAGAGCTTCAACACCAAAAGCCATCAAAATGAAAGAATGGTTTAAAACCAGCAGGCCCCCTCTGCAGCGGTGCTGTATAACTGGATAGAGAAGTTGTTCCCTGCAGAGGTTGTGCCAATATGTGATGAATGGGTTATGGTATTTCTGTCTCAGTCTCTTTAGTCCCAGCTAAAATGAAAGTACTACTTCTCCCCTTTGGCTAGCAGTGCAAATGTTATGAGGAGGTTGGGGCCACATTAGGGAGCTGAGGAAGAACTGCAGAACTGCTCTGTCGTGGTGGCTGTGTTTGCCGCATCTCTCAAGAAGCAGACCTACAAACGGCTTTCATGCCTGATCACCCTGTGGCAGCGTTTACAATGCAGCTGATAAGGTTGCCCTTCTTAAAGAGAGTTATAATCTAATATGGACTTCGGATCTGTGATATGTATTTCCTTGCTGCATTGTATTACAAAATATTTTTTGCAAATCCACAACAAGTCTGATTTGTGCTGGAACATAGTCCTGCAGTGAGACAATCACAAAATGTCTGTGGTCTGTGGTGTTTCAATTGCAGATAACTTTAAGCTAAATATTTTACTCATTTACTCTAAGCTAACTATTTGAATTGTTCATGACATTAATATAAGCTGTTCCTTCTGTGTCACACCGTGCAACCCAGACATACAGAAAAATGAAAAAGTATATTTGATATCAGAATGATTATTTTCCTAAAAATGTCTAATAATAATCTCGAATAAAGGAAGAATAGTGCAGAAAGGGATCTTGCTGCAGATGTGTTGTACCTCAGTCCCTTTTTGGGAAGCGTGTTTCTGTCAAGAGGCATGCTGTTAAAACACAAAATATGAGTGAGTTAGATGAACAAAGACACATTTCTGTTTGTGATACACTAAAAAAAGAAACATTTTTCAAATCTGACCTTTAACACGCACACACACTAAGACACACACACATGTGCTCGCACATACACAAAAACACACAATGAAGATAAAAAAGACACTAATGTATCACATTACAGACAATATATATAAAATACAAGCCAATTAAAATATTAACTAATTGTTATTAATCATTTTCACTAAGCTAGTAAGGGAAAATAATGATTACTCTTCATTCTGGTATATGTTGATTGCATGCACACTATGTGGACAAAACAATGGAAAACTGATTGACTTGTCGAGACAATGAGGGTCTGGATGATCTCAATTGATTGTGGGATGTTTCCAGCATGGCTTCAGACCCACAACTAATGGTGTGTTGATTGTTTACTCTAAATGATCTCAGAACTACTGAAGAAAGATTGGTACCTCTTCAATGCAAGAGACTAACTTTGGAGAGGTTGCCATGGTAATGTGGTTCAGCGAGTATTAAAAGGGTTGGATGGTGGAAATCATGACAATACCGAAACCACGTCGTAAAAAAGAAACAAAGATTTTCTTCAAAGTATGTTACCGAGGCTTCCTCTGTATTACTCCTGATATCTTAGGATAAAGAGATACACCTCTCGTCTCGGTTCTCAAATAAACAATGAATACGACTCAGCCCAATTGTATTCCCTGTTACTCACCCCTCAGACAGGGTGGACTTGACACTGCCGGTTCGTGTAACCTTGGACCCGTGGTGGCCCAGCGGGAGATCAATGGACTCAGAGCTGGTGTGCAGACTGGTCATGCTTTGGCAGCTCAGCGTGTCCTTGCTGCCAGCTGACGAGCTACAGGCCGGCCAGGGCCGAGCGTTGGAGGGCAAGGAGAGGCCAGAGGCCGGGCTGGAGGCCGGGGAGTCGGTGCACAGGTCTGGGGTTTTACCGTACAGCGGGCTACTGCCGCCACTCAGGCCACCAGCGCTGCCCAGGCTCCCCGTGCCAGAGGAGGGCGAGTCCAGACTGGCCTGCCTCGCCAGTGTGCCGTGGGGGCTGCCCAGTATTGAGGGGCACTTGCCAGAGTCGGGAGTGCCCGGAGAGCTGGCCTTGCTGCTGGCTTTGGTGCCAAACAATCTGGGGGGTAGAGAGGTGGGTCATTCAGAAATGCTCAAAGGACAAGTGATGAGCTTCTGTAAGATCCATACTAGAAAGTGGATTACATTGAGGTTACCTAATGTGTGTTGCATTTGAAATTACCGCAGTGGTCAAACACATCAAGGAACTATGTCTTCAAATTGTAACTTCAACGTAAAACTTAGGCTAAAACACTGAGCACACTTGTCAACACATTTATCCCTCGCAGGCAAACTCCAGCTCATTTCAGCGGCGGACCCTGAGTATCTTACATCTGCTTTCACAGCTTTGCCCGTTCAGCCCTGTGACTTTTAAGAAACTAATATGTCAGGCCACTCAGCCCCGTTTGCCTCCCACATATGCTCAGACAGCCTGCTACTCATATTGCGCCTCTCCCAGTCTGTCATTGCATTAGCATAAAATATCAAGGTGCAAAAAAACTAGCAAGCTTGAAGGCATGCAGACGAAACGGGTCGGCTTGACGGATCAGATAGGGACGGATGTTGTCAGGGATCGGCCAGACGAGAAACTCCCGTCTCCTGTCTGTTCTAATCAAGACTGCTGAGCTGGGTTTGCCCAACGCCAATGAAAAGCCATCGCCCCTTCGTCTGCGGGGTAAAACATGTTTCCTCTGCAGTTGCAGGGAACACTCTATGATAAAGCACCACTGCCTGTGCAGCCAAGGGAACGCGCCAATCAATCTTTTGTCGGCGAAAGGATATGATTTATTAAATGTCATACGTTCATCTTGCGTATTCAAACACCTCTAAATTAGTTGGAGTATTTTTTACAAGACAGCTACAGACAATGTCTTCCACAAATGCTGCAGGACTGCTGGGGGAACCGTCTGAGTCAGGAAATGACTATGAACCAAATTCTGAAATAGATAGAATCAGAATCACCTGAATCCAAAGTACAATCTAAGTACTGCAAGACATGAACTTGCATTGCAGCTTCCTGTACTGAAAAACTAACGCACAGCATGTGATGAAATGCTCGAGTCACATAGAAACACACACGGCGAGAGACAAAGACAGAACGGAAGCCGCAAGCATGTTTTGTGTGTCTGACCTGCGGAACGTAGGGGAAGCGATATCCGGGTACTTGGAGCCCGGCTGCCTGAGGCCCGATTGGCTGGTTGAACTGGAGGTGGGGCTGGACTTTGGGGAGGTGGATAGTCCTGAAGCGGCGTCCTGGTCTGACACCGCCACTTTCTCCTTGTCCGTCTGGTTGATGGTGATGGGACTGGAGCGGTCGGAGCCCACCTTTCCGTCCCTGCGTTTGGCGCCTGCTTGCGTCGGCGCCGTCCCGGCTGGCTTGCTGCTGACGTTGGAGTCGATGCTGGTGGAGCTGGAGCGGTGCCCGCCGCGGCCCGCTGCCGTTCCGCTGGGGGATTTGGCCGGTCTGGGCAGAGAGCGGTACTGCAGGGTCACTTTGGAGGCGCTGCAGCTGAGCAGGACGCCGTCGTCTTGAGGCTGTGTGCCGTCCAAGCTGGTCTTGCGCACACCGCCGATGCCTGTGCCTTTGCCGAGGGCAGCTGAGGATTTGGGCGCCTTGCCCAGGGTGGCTGAGCCGCTGGCCAGTGTTGCCCCGCTCGAGGTGATAAGGGTACCGCTGGAACCTGGGATCTTCTTGTATCCGAAAGACGCCGTGGTGGGTGGGCGTCCGATGCCGGAGGGAGGTTTCTTACCTTCGTCTCCACTACTCTTTCCGGCATCAGAGGGTGAGCGCTGGATGGCGGGTGAACTCTTGGAAGGCGCCTTGCCCTTCTCCGAGGCCTTAGCGTCATCCGTTTTGCCTGTCAATTTGCATGAAGACATATTAGCACAAATATAAAAAACATCAACACCCAAGCAGATTCTTGGCCCAGTGCCACAGAGCAGGGAAAGCCAAATTAGTGTACCTTTGGGAAAGCAGCCAGAAGGCTTTATCACAGCTCAACTGCAGTGAAAAGCAACACTTAACTGCAATAAAGATGCCAAACTTGTTGAGTGGACTAAAATGTAAAAGGATCGGCACATTCTCCAAGCACAGGTATCCGTGAATTATTTTTTTTTGGGTGGGAAAAGGCAACAAATATGCTAGCAACTCCTGTCCTTCACAAAACATCTTTTACCAAAATCAATATTTCGACGTGAATGTCCTTTCATGAATCAACTCCCACCTGGTGTTTTGTGAGCAGCGGAGGCACCCTTGGTTCTGGGCGGCGTGATGCCCACCTGGGCCGTCATGCCCCGCCTCCACGAGCCCGTCTGCGTGGCCTTTTGCCCGGCGTCCTCATACTGACTCTGGGCTTGAGCGGTAGAGGAGGACGAGGAGGGCTTCCAGCGCGAGGAGCCGCTGCCGGGGTCCATGCTAGCATCCAGCTCTTCCTCCACCTTCTTCAGGTCTTCGGCTCCGGCCCAGCTGCTGCTCACCTCTTGCTCTGCATGTTTGGACCTGCTTCCTTTTTGGGACTGGGGTTGTGGTGGGGATGGGTTTTGAAGAAAGCATAAATAAATAAAATAGTGAATGTGCTACCTAAAATCTTGAATGTTGTTGCGTCCTTAAATGTACCAATGGGGGAGTCTCAATGTACAGACAGACATAATGAAAGTGCTATTTAATGTGTTTAAGTTGAGCAATGATCAAGGGCGTGAAGAACTAGCTATTTGTAGTTGATACAATGTTATTTTAAGACCATATTTAAAGACACACCATAACGTCATAACAACGCGGTAGAAGTCCCTGCACCAACTGAGCAGCAGGTTGTTTGCGTCTGTGTGAAGTCGTAGCTATCTCTTTTGGGACCCGTGCACACGCGCACATGCACGCGCACACGCACACGCACACACACACACACACACACACTAGGGATTACTAGCCCACCTTGACAGATGGCCAGTCTCCCTAGCAACACCAGGGTCTCTTAAGAGCCCGGTCTGTTGTGTATTTCATGCGGGGCCAAAGATACTTGGCAGAAAAACGCAAACACCGGCGAGGAGAGATGAGCAATGGCCTTGGGTTCACAGTTAATTCCCGTAGCTGTTTTTTTAGAGCTCACGCACTGCCTGGCCTTGGGTTCCATGCTCAACCAGCATGCTAGCAGCTCCGCATCTGATATTTAGTCCGACTGTATTTTTAGTACTGATCACTTTCTGTAACTGCTTTGTAACCTTACTCCTATGATTTATTTAGTATTGCACTTTCACAAAGTTGAGGGACTATAAGAGACAGGTTAAAGAGTCTTGTCTGCCAAGATGTCCCTACTGTACTGAGGCTGCAAAAACACTTTCGAATTGTCATTCCTAACCACTATTCCTTGACCCCAGTGGAAAACGTCAAGGAAAGATTGTTAGGAGGATTCTTAGGAGTAAGGAGAAGACAGCCGTGGTGAATCCGACTAAGCTACGTCATTATGATGCAACGGGAGACGCATGTTAGTGACGTCAGTTTGCAGTGCCGAAACTACAATTTCTCCAAAGATGGACTACAAAGACGCATCTAGGAGGCCTTCGTGCATTTATCATTTTTACTTTGTAGCCCTTTTTTTGTGTGGAAATGGGCTTCTATAGTTCTGGGAATGCATAACTCCTGTCAATCCAAAGACGGGGTTCGTAACCGGATTTGTTTCACAAGACGCCATTTTACCAGCTCATTTTACCATGGTGACTGGGTCCGCCCCCTTACTGTCAAAAACGAAAACCGCGAGCGAGCAAGCAGAAAACAGCCTCGCAAGCGAGGAGATTCAAGTTTCGAGCCAGAGCTTTGCACGCGAATGTTCGATTTCCGCGCGTGCATGGACCTGATTTGCGCTCTTTTTACATTGATTTGCCTTCATACTTTCCGTAAAGGATGGTCCAATGGTTCCTATGCTAAAGGAGCTAAGTAGGGGAGCATTGTAGCTCCTGTCCTAAGCATTTAGAGGATTCAAACAGCTGTTACTGGCCACTTACACTACTTACAGGTCATTTCACTCAGTTAGGAACCTTCCTAAGCAAATCTCCCTGTAGTGACGCTGTGCACGACCAGATCGTTTCATAAGAAGCCATTTTACAAACTAATTTTGAATCGATAGAAAAAAAGATAGTGGTTCCCTATAATAATAATACTATACTAATTATATACTAATACTAATTTTATATCGCGTACCAAAACACAAAACAAAAAAAGAAAGGGGGAAACAAAACAAACAAGGAGGAATGTGCACGCGGCCTTACCTGCACCCCTTTGGTTTTTCGCGATGAGCTGGCGGCGGAGTAGGTGGCCGTGTTCAGATCATCAGTGCTGATGTTGTCTAGTGTGTCACTCAGGCCGCTGCTCACAGAGCTGCTGTCGTCCCAACTGCAAGAAGAGAAGAACGCGGGTTGCCGAGTTTGTTCTGTTATTTCAGAGCGTGCAACGGCCGCCACTCTCACATCAGGACCGACCGGTATGTTCTGACCTTACACAGCGGTACATGTGCCATCTTCACCTTCCCAGTGTTGCAACTTTGAAATGTCACTGACCAATAAAAGACTTGTTAGAATGATGCGCAAGTATAATTTTCCCCTCTAATTTTAGGGAATGACATGCAAATTGTGGGTACTAGAGTTCTCAATTCCAAATGCCGAATTGCTCAGCTGTTCCATAACTTGTGGGTTTAATATAAATACAGAAGGAAAAATGACTGAGCAGCCCAGCAGACACACAGGGAGAGGGAGAATGAGAGATGACAATCGGTACCGACAAAATGGATGTTAACACAATGGATTACAGGCAGATAACAAAAGAGCCAACCCCTTTTTTTCAATAACCGATCCCATCTGATGGGAATTTCCAGTCTGACAGATTTCGAACAACAGCTTGAGTCTCTTTGAACACCCCCCCCCCCTCCCCCCCCAAACTACTAATTACACTTTTATCAACCAGTCAATTCAACTCTCGTCATTTATAATTGATCCCAGGCGAGGATGGGACCCGAATACAGGCGGAAAACAAGGGAGTGATGACTCATTCTTCACAAAGGCTCACAAAGGAGGAAGGCGATAGTAGGTGTGAACGTGGGCGAGTTGGAGACATTCGGACCTGTTCAGCAGTGACGTGATTCATTTTCTAAATATTGTCTCTGAAAATCAATATCAGGCGTTCATGCCAACCATGACTTGTGTATTTGACATGCTTCACGTTGTTGTGTTAAGCAGCCTGTTGCTGGAGACTACACGTGGAAATTAATATATGCTCTATATTGACAAGCCATCTATAAAAACGTTTGTAATTATATAGGGGTGCAACCTGGTTCTCCACCCGTGCAAAGTAAAATTGATTTGCTCCTATGGCAGATTCACAATGAGGGGCATTTATCTTTATCTAATTTATCAAATTTTGCAGATATAGCCTTATATAGTAAGTTCTTATGGAGAGTTTTAGGCTGAAATATACAAAATAATAAATATATATCATAAAAGAAAGTGTGAAAGAGACAAGAGGCAATGTGCCTCCTTGTTCTCTCATTTTGAGATGTCCTTCTCCTTAAATTCAAAGCCGTAATCGGAAAAAGAAAGCCGCAGAGACTGATGTTTGAAGCGCAGAGCAACGTTTCGTATGAAATAAATTGGAAATGTGAGCCCCAGTGCTGTGTGTGTGTCCACAGCTTTACTGCGTTAGTGGGTAAAACTGAAAAAGGCCTCTCCTGAGCTCTGAGAGTGGAGCTCTGATATCAGAGTCGAGTGTAAGTGTCTACACACGCCGCGCTTTAGCAAACAAAGCCCTGGGAAATCGATGGCTTTGAAACATGCCCGGGTTGTTTCCCTCTAATCGGTTCCTATCATCTGCACTTAAGACCGTCTTTGCTGATAACGTGCCTGTGTTTTGAGTTGAGAGCAGCGTCGTCTGACCCACGCCGGCTGCTTAGCACGTTGTTTGAAGAAGGCGACGGCGAGCCGAGTGTTGAGGTTAAATACGCAGTCGTTCGTTAAGGGAGGAGGGGGCGGGGGCGGGGGTGGGGGGGCTTTGAGCTTCGGTGGTTTGAGCTGGTTGACGGTGCATGCGGGTCACCTTGACGATCCGATTCAAAGGTGCTCAGCTTTACAGCCACGGGGGATTTGCACTGCACTCCTCTGAGACCGGAATGGAAACGGAGCCCAATTTAAAGCTGAATGAAGCAGACCAAAACACTCCAAAACATAAATAAAGGCTTAAATCTATAAACTGTCATGTTGATCTGCTGTAAGATGAAAATTAGAAGAGATCAAAGACACAGATGGTCTTTTTACAAGAGCTGATTGCCCCTTTTGCCAAATTGCACTTCTCAAATATCATTCAGGCGACTTTCAAAGTGAGAAAAGGTTCACTTTTTCCCACATTGCCATTAATTCCCCCCAAACTGAGACAAATTGGACTTGATAGCAAGACGAGCAAAATGACAAAGGGGCAGTCAGAGGAGGTTTGGCTATTACCGTAACGTGGGGGGCAGAGGCAGATGGCACTTACTTCCAGTTCTTACATATATATGTAAAATGCTCTTTTGGGCCAATTAGCAGGACAACTATGTAAAATATAATTATAACGATAAGTCAAAGATGAGAGCTCTCGGAGTCACAAAGGAAAGATGCCCCCTTAGCATGTGCGTTCACTTCTGTAAATGGAATTATTCAGTCATAGGGGAAGATGTCAATGTATTGGCCTCAAAGCCAGAGGTTAACATACGAGTACATGACTGGCTTTTCACCACCATTGAACCATTGCAGTGCAATGAAAGGAGCTTTAAGTTCTCCATCTTTGGTTCTGTTTCTAATGATCATCATCTGTTAACATTAACATGGCATTGTCCACCAACCTTTATCCAGACGAAGGCGAAGGGTTGTGTTTGATGTGTGATGTTAACATCACAGTCCTCAAGATTTTTACTGATATAATTACAAGAGCAACAACAACAAAAAAGACGTCCCCATCCTGAGAAACCCGCCTGACTGTAATGGGCTGAATATTTCATTGCGAGCGGCGATGTACGGAGCAGAATACTTGAGACGCGGCCGCTGAGGGGAATGTGGCCTTCTCTCCCATATCTATGAATATGAGCACAGATGTCACCAAACAAGTCATCTAATCCCACTGTATTTTAATTGATACTTATTTTCATTACACAAAGCTGCGTTGCCTTGGATCGTGACGCCCAACCAAGCGTGTCCTTTTGTTGGTGGGTGTAATGCAGTAGCGCTATGGAATCAGCAAAAAATCTGGCACCAGAAAGCAGCTTCTCACCGGCCAAAGGCAGCTCTCTGGTAGCTAAATAAGGATGTCTACTCTTCTTTGCATTTCTTTACAGATTCAATTGCCAATCGCGGATTTGCGCGTTCGGCTGCTACCGAGAAACGAGCACACTGCTGTGGCTCCATCCAACCGTGCAAACGTCCCCTCATGCAATATTCAACAGACTCGGTCTTGATTCTTTAAAAGACCCAGAGGACAAAAATGGCCATCAGCAGCACAAAAGAAAAGGAATAACATTGGTAATTACTCTGTTTCATTTAGATTAATGAGATCATGATGAGGGTTGATAGATTATTGGGCGGGATAATGCTAAAGTGAGTGGAGATGGGATGTCCACAGATGGGGGAAGGCAAGGCGTAGTTAAGAGGACTTCTTATGTAATGAAACATAGAGGGGGGGGGGGGGGGGGGGGCTCATATGCAGCAGTGCCCGAAGACGTCGGGAACCCAGCAGATGAATTAGCGTCTACATCTTCAATTGAAATATGAAATATTATTGTCAAATTTGTAACACTTTGGATATTATTGAACGTGTTTTTTGTCTGAAAAAGCAACATGTGGTTAAATTGCAAAATCTGCAAAAACATGAGAATTTAGGAATTACTTCTGTCTCCTAGCAGCAGGTTGTTAGTTGGTCTAATATACAAACAGCCGTCAACAAATCAGGCCTTCAATCTCAACTTTTTCCTGCGGTTCATTGTGCTCCTCGGGTGCTCCAAAATAAAATTTTAACTGCACACAGAAACCGAGGAGAAGAAAACTGAGAAGCCACAAAAAAGACGTCTTCTCCAACCACCATGACAACTATCTGTGTCACAAGCAGAACTTTGCTTTGAAATGCATGTTTTTTCCCCTCACACACACACACACACACACACACACACACACACACACACACACACACACACACACACACACACACACACACACACTAACACTAACACACAGAGAGCAGGGCTCTGCAATACAAATGGAAAGCGCTCATCCTTCATTTGCCTGTGCCGTAATCCCAGTTAATGCCTCTGAGCCTTTGCAATTAAACATGAGAAAACACCAAGACATCCGCTCAAATGACTCTTCTTCTCTGTGGGCTGCCAACGCTGCCGAGGCTCCCCTAGACTTTGATGGGGAGCACAAAGAGCCGGCCTATCAGAGCCCACTAGGCAATCTGACTCCACTCGAGCGGCAGCACAAAGCAGCATCAATGGTCTGTTTTACAGGTCATACGTGTGTAAGAGGGTTTCCAGCTGTGCCGCCAACTCACCTCTGGTGGGATGGACGCTGGCCGTCTCCTTGCCGCAGAACTCTTCCCCACTCCCCCACTACCACGGGAGGGAAAACCCCAGCTGATGGAAAGGCTAGAAGCTGTGAGACGGAGTCCAGAGAGGGAAAGGGAAGGAGAGAGGGGAAGGAAAGCACTAGCTCACTCTTCCACTTTCACCCTGGTGCTTTATGCTGCCTGCTGGCTCCTCTGGCACCTCTCCCTCTCTCTCTCTCTCCCCCCTCGCTCTCTTTCTCCCTCCCTCCCTCCCTCCCTTCTTCCCTCCAGGATGGGCCTGTCAGCCCTTAAAGATGCTGTCGGACATGCCCTCAGCAGCGGGACTACCGAAGGTCAATCAAAGCGGGATTTCAGTGCAAAAAGTAGCTTGATCAACAGAAGAAGGGCTTTGTGCCGAGCCGTGACCAAAACCCATTTGACTGGAAGTGATCTCATGCATTATACGTGAGATGCTCAGAAAAGTCTGCCTGCGGTTGGGACATTATTCATGATCAGCGAGCAGCGGAATGGAGGGAAGCACGGGAGGAGAAAGGGGTGATGGAGTTGGTACATTTATTTTTTTTCATACAAAAAGACTCACGTCAGTGCAACAAAGTCTTTATTTGATGACCGGTGACGCAGAGCCAGACAGCTCATCCAAGAGATGCCATACGAGACACCCTGCTTCATCCTGTCTTTTGGAAGTTCTGGTCACTTCTCATGCTATCAACACAATTCTTATTCACATTGCAATAAAACGTTATGTTTCTGAAGCTAGAGGTGTGATCTTACAGAGGAAAGAGCTTAAATGATGCTGATACTATGTTTAATCACCT